CCAGATCTTGAGCCTCCGTGGTGTTACCCTGACACAGCGTATGATAACGACAAAGGAGTCGTATGGAGTGCATACCCGCGTTTTAAGGAGGATGATTTCCAAGATCTGCCAGCCCAACTCGGTGCAACTTTCAACCGCACGATCCTTCTAGCAAAGATCGCTGTGAGGATTCAGGAGTTCTTGTTCATCGAATCATGGGGCATGTCGAAATCTGAGATCGAAGCATCGGCAAATGACTTGATGACGCAATTGCAAGTCGTGAAAGAAGGCCTACCAGCCTCAGAGGTTGAGCAACGAGAGCTTCCACATGTCCTACTCGTTCAGTGAGAACCCCAGCATGAATGTCACCCCCTACCCCTCTGACCGTTTATCAAGTATCAAATACCATCACACAGTATTGCTATTTTTCGAACATCTCTGGGATCACCAGCTTGTGGAAGCAACCCCCGAGCAGGCCCGTTCATACCGACTCGAGCCGGCGAAGAAGGTTGTCGAGTATCTCGGTGTGTTTGAAGCTAGATTCGGACTGCGTCGAGTACCAAGACAAATGTTGGAGCCTGCCAATCGCAGTCTTCTTGCTCTGCTAGTCTTCGTTGAGGATGAGGAGTCGTGGGAGCCAATAATAGACCTATGCCGGTTCATGGCGGCGTGCAGCACAAGGTTTGTTCTGGCGGAGCAGATGTGTCTCCAGTTCGAACGGCTAATCAAAGCCTCTAATGCCGTTTTACCACAAGAAGCGTACGAGGTGCTAAAAGGAAGAGGTATTAATGCATCCGACTGGCTGTGAGTCAACGCTAGCAGGTACTGTCAACGAGATGGACAGACGCACAGATTCACCCACAAAACCAGTGAGACTGACCGATTATGTGGCATCACAAATTGTGACATCGGGCATTGTGACCTCGGTTCGTGTCAAGCAGGATGAGTGTTGCCGAAGACTCGTCAAGCCTAAGCATGGCTGTGACGAAGTTTCCTGGATTATTGTCTTGTGTGCACTCGCAAGAGCCGCGATTCGCTTCGTGGTAGATTCGTGGTAGCAATTCTCTGGAGAACCAGAGTGACACGCCACCGCCACTATTGGTAATGGTCTCCCCGATCAAAGTCGAGCTCGTTCATTGAAGTAGTGACGAGGTCTCTGCAGTGTTTTATGGGGATGAGAGTAACCACGCTATTGCAGTTCTGCATCAAGAGCCTTGAGCGGTGTATGTCGAGGGCAAGAGGAAGATTGCGTGGATAAAGCGAGTACGGAGTAGAGATCTCTGGAGAATGAGGAAGGAAGAAGGAAGCGAGGAAGAGTGATTGCGAACTGGAGTGTAGCAGTGAGAAGAAGTTTGGGACCACCAACCCAGGGCTGAGGCCTGACATATAAGCCGAATGAAGCGTGACCAAATGACAGTCAAGTAGGATAAGTTCTCCGGAGAAGGGATGCCCAATAATGAGCTCTGGAGCGACAGTGGCACTAGCAACCTTGGTTGGCGGCAAGCGGAAGGGGCACATGGCCTTGTCCTTCATCTCCACAGACTCGGATTTCCCAAGTTTATACTTGGCTTGATCCGGAATATTCTGTCCACTGGCCGGACCTCCTTCCTGCCGTGCAAGCTATGTGTACCTGTGCCTGTGTGCCTGTGTGCTGTATGCTGTGTGTGTGTGTGTGTGTGTGTGTGTGTGTGTGTGTGTGTGTGTGTGTGTGTGTGTGCGTGGAAGATCATGGGCGTGGAGTTCCGATGCGGCAGTTGACCCTCGCCCTTTTTTTTCGTAAGAAAAAAAGGGATAGAAACACGATTCAGGTCGTGGCCGTACCTGCAGGGAGCACTGTTTACTACTACCTAGGTAGTCACAAGTAACAACTGACCTACATACCATATTCATTACATTATTCTATTCGACCTACCGAACCGGCTAGGCCCTGCTGGCAGTCGAATCCTTTACGCTATCACTTTTTCTTGACCAAACCAGGTCTAGAGCATCGCATTGTGCAAGGAATAGAGCTCCAAGGTATGATTCTCAAGGAGAATCCTATCCGAGATCTATGATAATCGATGCGGATATCAGATCTTGATACCTTGTATCGGTCAGGTCTCATCCTTGAATCTCTGCCCTCTGAAGAATCGGACTGGGAGGAACTGCCTCTCCTATAATGCACCGCGAGTCATTATAAATGTATTCATTTCCTCCCAACATTCCGGGACGAAAGCAAGGCACTCTGCCTTCGGCTCCATGGGGAGGGTGAGCTACTACGACGTAGCATAGGTAGGTTACCACCTCGCTTCCAATCCAAGGTTCTTCAAGCGGCCGGTAGAAGTATCCGGCTGCCCTCCCACCCAATCGGAGGCGTGCTACTCACCTTGCGTGCCACTCACTCCATGCTCCCCGTTCGTCCCTCCATGCCACACCTCATTCCCATTATATACCTTATCCATGACTCTGGAATACTCGAGTGATCTCAGCCACGGATGGGGGCTCCCAAGTTATATCAAGTCGTGTTCTCGGAAAACTGAAAAGGGCGCCATAACGGTTTGGATGGGATCTTGCCTTGTGCAAATAAGCTTCTCACACTCCAAATTCTTACTACGCATTTTTATTTCTCTGGTGTCGCTCACCTATGTATGCTTGGCAGATTCTCTGGGTATTGATCGAGCTCTATGTGGAAGACATGACTCAGTATTGGGATCCCTTTCATACTCCTTGATCACGGCAAGTAAGAGTATACTGGTTCGAAACACAATACTATAAAGTGATTCTAGTATAGTTATAAGAGCTATTGGGTGTTCCTGCTGACTCTAAAGATAAACAGGTCTTCAGGTTACTTGGTATCGATAACCTTACTATATGTATTCACCAGTTCCGTGTTGAGCCAACAAGCGTGGAGGATCCTGACCTGTCTAATGTGACCTGATCCTAGCTCCGGCGATCTTTGCATGCTCATCACCATAGAAAACATGGATTATAATCTGTGACCGACGCAGTGGCTCTGTAATTTCAGAATGGACAGGTAGTAGAAGGCACGGTAACCTATGGCGAGCGGCAAGCCTTTAGGGGGTTTTGGATCTGTCGACTGCATAAATGAGTCAGCAAACCAGCTATGCACAGATAAGATAAGCACAAATCCGTCCAAGCGAAAACCCTCAAAATTCAACTCCGCCGAAACAATCCAAATCCCACACGCCGACGCCAAGTAGCTACGCCTGACGACTTGCCCCCTCTCCTGCCCTCTCTCCACCCATCTCCGCCCCCCGCTCACTCGGAAATCTTATCATCGTCAACAGTCGCTTTTCTGTTGCAAACATGTCCTACGAAGAGCGCGCCAACCAGCACCCCAACTTGGGCGACGAGTCCGATGTTGAGGAGGAGGCCCTTGTCAACGACTACCGCGAGCAGGTCAACTATGATGATGGCATGAGCGAGTTGGACCGGACCACATCTCTTGGAGCTGGCTCGCAGGCACAGGATCTCCAGGCACAGCTCGCCGCCGCCGCGACCCCGCTTGAATACCAGGCCACGCTGGAGACTAAATTTGCGAGCTACGATAACTACTGCAGCCTTTTCCACTACATCTTGAACTCGGACGGCCCCGTTGAGTTGGAGGTTCCTTCGGTATGTTCTTTCCCCCGCCCTGCTCAGAACGTCTCGCGCGTCGAGGTTTCGTTGAAAGTTGTTGTGTGATCGACGTGAACGTCGGCATTCTGGACTAAAATCACCTAACCTTCTGTTTATACAGTACTACTGGGCTTGGGATGTCATCGACGAGTTTATCTACCAGTTCGAGTCCTTCTGTCGCTACCGCAACCGTGTCGCTCGCAGCGGCTCCAACGAGGAGGAGGCGCAACTCTTGCGTGAGAACCCGAACACGTGGGGCTGCTACTCCGTCCTTAACGTCCTTTACTCCCTCATCCAAAGGTCGCAAATCAACGAGCAATTGGCTGCCATCAAGCGTGGTGAGGACCCATTGGCCGTCGCTGGAGAATATGGCTCTCGTCCTCTGTACAAGATGCTGGGATACTTCTCCATCATCGGACTTCTGCGTGTCCACTGCTTGCTCGGTGATTTCAGCCTCGCCCTGAAGACTCTTGATGACATCGAGATGAACAAGAAGGCCATGTTCGCCCGTGTTATGGCTGCTCACTTCACGACCTACTACTACGTCGGTTTCTCTTACATGATGATGCGCCGCTATGCCGACGCCATCCGCATGTTCAGCCACATTCTGGTTTACGTCTCCCGCACCAAGAACTTCCAGAAGGGCGGCAACAGCTACGATGCCATCGCCAAGAAGAACGACCAGATGTACGCTCTGATTGCTATCTGCGTTGCCCTCCACCCCACTCGCTTGGATGATACCATTCACTCGGCTCTCCGTGAGAAGTACGGCGAGCAGCTCAACCGCCTGCAGCACGGTGGTCCCGACGCCCTGCCTCTGTTCGAGGAGCTCTTCCGCTCTGCCTGCCCCAAGTTCATCAGCCCCACTCCTCCTGACTTCGAGAACCCTGCCCTCAACGTTGACCCGGTCGATCACCACACTGCCATCTTCATGGATGAGGTCAAGAACACCCTGTACAACCCTACCATCCGTTCCTACCTCAAGCTTTACACGACCATGGATTTGAAGAAGCTGGCCGGCTTCTTGGAGGTGGAGCCTGAGAAGCTTCGCTCTTGGTTGCTGATCAACAAGCAGCGTAGCCGCCAGGTCCGCTGGGTTGAGGGTGGTTTGTTGGAAGGTGAACCGGCCATCGCCAACGACTTGGACTACGCTCTCGAGAAGGACCTCATTCACGTGAGTGAGACCAAGGCTGGACGTCGCCTTGTTGATTGGTACCTTCGCAACCTCGCTCGTGTCTACTAAATTGACAGCCCAATACATCGATCACCGTCTTAGACGCAAGAGCTTGAGGCTTGAGATCTCGGAGATGCGATCACTCCGTCTTCATAGCCACAAGGGTCGATGGTATTCACGTGGACAACACGGCACTCCCAATGCCGATTGACCGGGCAACTCGACCCTATGGATGCACGAAATTGAGGTCAACAGTGACTTGGTGGCTTAACCTCCCACCTCTACCCCCACCCCCCACCCCCTTTTGCCTACTGATCCTCTCACCTTACCCCGCCACTCAAGTTATGATGCCTTTTATTTCTATCTTCATATTATCCCTCCATGTTGTTTTCTTTCACATGTCCATGCTTTTTTCTTAGGGTTGGGGCCTTGAAACCGATCAGGTTACGGGGTTGGAGTCGACACAAAAGAAATTCTCGAGGATTTGATAAATTCGCGGCGTATTCCATTATGCTTGTGCTTTGGTTTTTGCTTACTGTTTCGACGACATTGTCCGGTCTGGGCTGTGCATCATGCTTTTGTTTGTTGCTTGCTTGCACAGTACCCAAAAAGAATGCAGCTGGCAGAGCACAAGGCTGTAGTGATTCCATGATGAAATAGATGATGACGTTATTTAATCCTTTCCATTCTCCCATAAATTGTGCAAGTATGAATACCTTTACGCGCCTGAAATCCCAACAGAAGCGGAGTGGGGGTATATTATTTACAATCTATTCGGTTAAGCATAGCTATGTTGTGGTAGTTTGATGCACGCCAACTCCCAAGTATAATACATGGGCAGAACAGAGCGCGACTGCCTTCAGAAATGGGAGCAGGAAAGCCCGACAACCATGATCCGCAAGACCCTTAGCGACCCCCTCCTACTCGAGAACGTCGAAACTCGTCCCGCAACCGCAATTACTCGAAGCTCTCGGGTTGTCGACAATCTTGAACTGACTTCCAATCAGCTCCATCGTGTAATCCACCGTACTTCCGTGAAGCAACTCCAACGAAGGTTCATCCATGACGACTTTGGCCTCGCCGGGTCCGGCAGGAGCGTCCTCCGCTTCGAAGACGGTATCTTCTTCGGGGTCGATCTTCGACGCTGCTTCGAGGGACATCATATACTGAAACCCATGACAGCCGCCGCTTGTCACGGTGATCCGGAGGTGGTCGTAGGGGTTTTCCTCCTTCGTGGCTGACGGGGAGGAGGTCGGGTCTGTGATCTCACGAAGCCGCTATAATGCGAAGCCGTTAGTTTAATACTCGCGACTGAGTGCAAATAGGTAGAAATCAAGGACAGAACAAAGGACTTAGGCGAAAAAGGAACAAAGAAAAAAAACATACAACAGCCGGGATTCGCTGGTGGTCACCCACCCAACTACTAACCGGCCGGCGTGTGGCTTGAGTACGGCTGAGCGGACGGGAAGCCCTATTTTCCACACCCTGTGGTCGTATGTACTGGATGAAGAGTGGTCATGGTACTTCTTGCGATGATACCATATGACCTCCCTCCTGCCACTGCCATAGCTTGGGGTTGTGCATATAACCCGACTCCCGTCTGATTCATGAGTACCCAGCTTCCATCACAACCCAACATACTGAAATATGAAGATGTCGAAAGAGAGATAGAAACCTACTTCTGCGGCCCGCGGGGATATCTTGATTGTGAGTTCTTTTCCATCCTCGTCAACTCGGGGGTTCTGTAGGATCTTCGCGTTCGTCCGGATCGCTGACGAGGAGAAAGGGTAGCGCTGGCGGATTGCATTGTGGAAGACCACGGAGTATCGCGGAGTAAGCTTCTGGGACGCGATGCCTCTCGTAGCTTTCTTAAGAGGACGCAAGCTGGACCGGAGGGATGCCGTGTCGCAAAACGATGCGGCGAAGTTCACCGGAGGCGCGGCCGATGGCGAAAACGCGGAGATGGATGAGTGAGGTCGCGATAGCCGGCGGACGACGGATGATATTACCGGACGAGACATGATGGTCTTCAAATATCTCCAAGATCAAGGAGCTAGTGGATTGGCGGCGTTATCGTGGTCACTGACGTCTCGGGTTGTAGAGAGGCGTGACTGATTATATATCATCATCCCAAAGATACTGCCGTTAGTCAGAGTGAGCGGCGTGGCGTCATTGGTTAATCGGCCGTCGGCAGACATCGGCAGAATAATCACCGTGCAGTTGCCCGCCTTTCTGGCCGATAACCGATCGCGGGGAACTAAACCGAACCGCGAGCCGGGTGCCACTCGTGCTCTAAGAGCTAACCCTTGTCGAGATTTGACTATAGCACTCGGTCTGACTTCTCACATCCCTCATAGTCACCAGCTACTGATTGGTTTTTTTCCAGCTTCACAAGATAAAGGACTGGCTTCTAGCGGATCAAACGCAATGCTTCCCGATCTGCAAGCAAAGCGCGCAAATGGTGGTCCCCCACTTTCTGACTTTACAAGAGAATATGCGCAATCGCTTGATGCGCAGGATCCTCTACGTCACTTCCGACAGGAATTTCTCATCCCCTCGAGAAATGATCTGAAGAAGAAGACCTTAGCTCTACCGGATGGATGTACGTCAAACGAGCAAGTTTTCTGTTGCATGGACCGTGGATTAACCAGAAGCAGTGTTCGTTGATATAGATAACGAGGAGGCTGAGGAAATATCCATCTATCTATGCGGGAACTCCCTTGGAGTCCAGCCCCGCAATGTTCGCAAGTATATTGACCACTATTTGCGCGCGTGGGCCATTAAGGGTGTGACGGGACATTTTGTATCGCATGATGACCAGCTGCTTCCACCCTTTGTCAACGTTGACGAGGCTGGGTCGAAGTTGATGGCGCCGATTGTTGGAGCTCACCCTGAAGAGGTTGCCGTGATGGGTACGCTGACAGCGAACCTGCACCTGCTGATGGCGAGCTTCTACAAGCCTACTAAGGAGCGATACAAGATCATCATCGAGGGCAAAGCATTTCCAAGTGATCATGTATGTGTCGGATCTTGGGCGAGCCGGAAGAGCAGCCACTGACATACGAGGAGACAGTACGCCGTTGAGTCTCAGATCAAACACCACGATCTTCGCCCAGAAGACGCCATGGTTCTCATCGAGCCCCAAGACTCCGAATTCCCCACCTTGCCCACCGAGCAAATTCTTCGTGTCATCGATGAGCATGCCTCGAGTACAGCTGTAATTCTTCTCTCTGCCATCCAATTTTACACTGGGCAGTATTTCGACATCGAGAAAATCACCGCGTATGCCCAGTCGAAGGGCATTTTGGTTGGCTGGGACTGCGCCCATGCGGCCGGCAACGTGGACTTGCGATTGCATGACTGGAACGTGGACTTTGCTGCATGGTGTACCTACAAGTACCTTAACAGCGGTCCTGGCTGTATGGCGGCCCTTTTTGTCCACGAGAAGCATGGCAAAGTAGACAGAAATAAGATTGGCACTGCAGAGCAACCCTTCCGCCCGCGCTTGTCAGGTTGGTGGGGAGGAGACAAGCAGACGCGGTTCCTGATGGAAAATAGTATGGTATCCCAAGATATCTCAAGCCTCAAGCTCTAACTTCACACCCCCCGCAGACTTCGTTCCTCAGACAGGTGCCGCAGGCTACCAGCTCTCGAACCCGTCGGTTCTGGATATAAATGCGCTTGCGGCCTCCCTCGAACTTTTCAACCGGACTTCAATGGCGCAGATCCGGGAGAAGTCCCTGCAAATAACTGCATACTTGGAACAACTCCTTCTGGAGTTTCCGTCCGAGTCGCTTCCAGAGAGACCGTTCAATATAATCACACCCTCGAATCCAGCAGAGCGGGGTGCTCAACTCAGTCTGCGCTTGGCACCGGGTCTTCTCGACGGTGTTCTCGAGGTTCTTGAAGAGCACGGTGTTGTGATTGATGAACGGAAGCCAGACGTCATTCGAGTGGCGCCTGCGCCTATGTACAACTCGTACATCGATGTTTGGGAGTTTTGTCAGGTCTTTCTGAAGGCCTGTCAGCAGGCTTTGGACGCCCGTAAGTGAACATACAACTTGTGTATCTGTGATTTTGGAAAGAAAACCTCTCAACGACCAAATCCTTCCATCCTCTTATCCATGCAATCGACCGTGACCTATGAGATTTCCGGGTCAACGTCAACTTTTAGCAAGGCTTCTGGGACGATGACAAACATATAATCCAAATATACCACCAGTCATATTGACAAATATAGATTGGAGCTTCACCGAAGGGTCTAATCTTTCAGTAGGTGTCCTTGGCTCCACATGTATGTATATCCTGTTCATATCAAATCATCCGAGGCAAGAGATCGCTTTCGCGGTTCCTTTAATACATGGCAAAGAGAAAGTATTTGGGGCAGTACGAAGTGGGCAGTTCTTAAGCCTGCTATGTAGGAATAGATTTCCTATGAAATACTTATTACGTATAGTAGCGGAAATAACCTACTATCAACCATATAAATTTGTCGGTTGTCTTTACTAAACAACGCCCAAGTCCGGCCTGTTACAGCAGTACTTACTAAAAAGGCCCGTAATCAGCTCCTTTATCATTACACTGGGCATATATAAGCGGATCGTACCCAGACTAATCAGGCTGCAGGATTGACCAAGATTGGCCAGCCCACACCTGATTATAGTCTTTCAATGGTCCTTGTCCTTGAAGCTCCGCTTATTCTGGGAGTTCGAGCGGCCCTACCTAGTAGTGTGGCCATCTGTACTGTACAAAAGTATGGCAACTGCTACACACGAGCAACTAGTACGAGCCTAGTTGCCGAAGGATTCCGGTTATTTTGCACGAAAGACTTGTTTCATATCAACCCTCGGGCCATTTTATACTTTCTGTGCGCCACCATTCTGTACCTAATATAGAACATAAACCCTGGAGATTCATCCAAATGCAAAATAAGCCGGCTCCAACGATTGACGCTCTGACTCCCACGCTAACCAATCTGATCTCGTAGTCCTGTGAAAAAGGTAGAATGTTAGCCATCCGTCCAGCCCAGCAGCCGCGCGAGAAGAGAGCCCACTTACGGCAGGAGACCCATCGCGTTGACCTTCCAGATACCCAAGCAAAGTAAGACTAGCTGCATTACGACATAAATGGCCTTGACGCCCAGAAGCTTGCCCCGTGTGCCTTCGGTTTCGAACTTGGTGAAGACGGTGTTGGTATTGATGAGGCCTTGGATCGGGCCCTTGAAGAGCATGAAGACCATCATGATGCTGAAGATTTGGAGACTGTTGCCAGACATGTACATCATAATCGCGTTCATGGGGATTTGCTTGGAGGGAGCCAGGGCAATCTCCCAGGCCTTCTTCAACTTCAGGGTATCGGTCTCCTCGGGCTTGGTCGGCGCGGCGGTGGTTGATGACTGTTGCGCAAGCTGCGGACACAATTATAAGGGTTAGTTCGGTGGCCTCGGAGGTGGGGGGGGGGGGGGGGGGGAGAAGGGGGAGTAGGGAGTATTCATGACAGAACATACATTTTTACCGCCCATCTTCTTCGAATAGCCTGGAGGATCGGGGATTTTGGCGGCCTCTTTGCTTGGGCGCGGCATCGGGGTGTTTAGCCTGACCACCCATTCTGGGGGTGGAGGCGGGTTGAGAGGTTGCGCAGCCATCCTCCAAGTTTGTTTAATGGACTCAAATATGAGATAACGAGGAGGGAGCTGAGCACAAGCGAGCGTAGCGTAGTAGAAGGGTTGTTGATGGGCAACGGTGCGGAGAAGGCAAGCTGGAAGAATGTTGATTGATGATGATGATGACAACCCCCGTCGTCCTCCTCCATCCGGACTGGGAATTTCTCCACAAGCGGCGGGCGGAGTTGGCGGCTCCCGATCCACTCCTGATTCTCAATCCAACCCAGACCCTGATCGAGGCTCGTTCCCCTTTTGACCCTGTTAATCTCGACTTTGGATTTCTCTCTCGACTGTCAGATCGAACTGGGGGAGACAGTGATTATTTCCCATTGAACCTAGGTTCGACCCTAATCCGCTTCCGCGCTCATTCCTCCGTGCGACGCTGACTCCTTTAGCACTCGCCTGCACACCCCTCTCCCTTCTCGAAAGGTCATGGAAGCTGCGGCCAGCTAAAGATCTCCTCCCCCTCGAAGCTAGCATACCGACACGAACCAACGTCGCTATACATGCACATGCGATTTTGAAACACCATCACCTTCACCTGCAAACCCTGCGCCAGCCCTGTTTTGAAAAGTACCAAGCCACCGAACCTCGCCCGATTCGTCACCTATAACCCTCCGACGCAATGAGTTCTAGCGGGGGAGATGCGAAGTTGTTCGCAAGGGTATGTACTTGCGCATGCACTGCTCTTCCGTTTCGTCGGTCGCTTTGAGGCCTTGGCCTGGTGACTTCCTATCATCCTTCCGCATCTTCCCCCTCCTCAATCCGTCAAATCACACTCGACGGTAGCTCTCTTCCATACGAACCGAGCACTGTCCTATTCCTTCCTCCTCGCACCCTTGGGGCAACCTCTTTTCGGTCATCCATGAAATCCTATCCACCTCACACACTTGAGTCTCGCTCGTTCTAGAGGAGACTCCCTGTGATCCCATGTTTCTCAGTGTGGTCCCCTATAGTCCGCAATATGGCTTACCATTCTCTCAATCTAAACAGGGCAAAGTCGCCGAACTGCGCCAGGAGCTCAACAGCGGTGGGAAAAAGGATAAGAACCATTCGGCCAAGAAGATCGCCCTCAAGAAGATTGTCGCAAACATGACGATGAGCAACAATGACATGGTAGCCTTGTTCCCGGATGTGATCGGTTGCATGAACCTGCCCAGTCTGGAAATCAAAAAGATGTATGTCGAGAGGGCGAAAACCGATTGCGGATACAATTGTTCGGCGCTGACTTGTCTTTAACGATACAGGTGCTTCCTGTTTCTGGTCAACTACTCCAGGGCGAAGCCAGATATTGCGCTCAAGGCGTTGCCGATTCTGGTCGATGTATGGATGATGCCCATCTTTCTTCCCCCACCTGGATGCACTTCGATGGAGTTCCTAACGAGCGCATAGGATATGGAAGATTCCAACCCGCTCGTGCGTGCTCTGGCTTTACGAACGATCTCATATGTCCACGTTCGCGAGTTTGTTGAAGCCACAGTCGCACCGGTCAAGCGATTGATGCAGGATATGGATCCATACGTCCGGAAAACGGCCGCCTTTTGTGTCGCGAAGCTCTACGAGCACGATAAGAAGATGGTTGAAAGCTCCGACCTGATCGACCGGTTGAACAGCATGCTTAAGGACGAGAACCCGACGGTGGTATCCAGCGTCCTTGCCTCCTTGGTAGATATTTGGGGACGGAGTGAATCGATCTCTCTCACCATTGACTACGCCAGTGCGTCGAAGCTGGTTTCGATCCTACCAGACTGCTCTGAGTACTTACTCCTGTACCCGATGAAACCAGTCTTTTGCTAATAAGACCCATAGGTGGGGGCAATCATACATTCTCGAAGCCTTGATGTCCTATGTTCCTCAAGATTCCGCTGAAGCGCTCTTGCTGGCAGAGCGTATTGCTCCTCGCCTGTCGCATTCCAACTCTGCCGTCGTTCTGACTTCGATCCGGGTCATCCTTTACCTCATGAACTATATCGCCGACGAGAGACATGTTACCTCGTTAGCGAAGAAGTTGTCACCGCCCTTAGTCACCCTTCTCTCCAAGCCCCCAGAAGTCCAGTATTTGGCTTTACGCAATGCCATCTTAATCCTACAGAAGAGGCCGGAAGTCCTACGGAACGATATCCGCGTCTTCTTCTGCAACTACAACGATCCGATCTATGTCAAAGTAACGAAGCTGGAATTAATATTCATGCTGACTACGAAAGAAAACATCTCTGTGGTGCTCGCGGAGCTCAGGGAGTAAGTTTGCCTTTTGATGTCCTGACGATCGCACAGCTAACAATGGTTAGATATGCCACAGAGATCGATGTCCATTTCGTGCGCAAGGCAGTGCGCGCGATTGGCAAATTGGCGATCAAGATCGAGTCGGCCGCACGGCAGTGTATCGACACCCTCCTTGACCTGGTCAACGCAAAGATTCCCTACATCGTCCAGGAAGCGACCGTGGTCATCCGAAACATCTTCCGCAAATACCCCAATCAATACGAGAACATCATCAGTAACGTCATCCAGAACATCGACGAGCTCGATGAGCCAGAGGCCAAGGCCGCTATCATCTGGATAATCGGACAATACGCAGACCGCATCGAGAACTCTGACGGCCTTCTTCAGGACTACCTCGCCACCTTCCACGACGAAACCATCGAGGTTCAACTGGCCCTCCTGACCGCAACGGTGAAGTTCTTCATCCAACGCCCAACCAAGGGCCAGCAGCTGGTCCCCCAAGTGCTGAAGTGGTGCACGGAGGAGACGGACGACCCCGACCTCCGCGACCGAGGGTACATGTACTGGCGGCTCCTCTCCACCGACCCCGCGGCCGCCAAACAAGTCGTCATGGGCGAGAAACCGCCGATCAGCGCGGAGAGCGAGAAACTCGACCCGAAGACGCTAGAGGAGCTGTGCTTGAATGTCGGCACGCTGGCCACGGTATATCTGAAGCCTGTCCAGCAGGTCTTCCGCAATGCGCGGACCAGACGATTGCAGTACAGCCCCGCCCTGCAGAAGCCGCAAGAGGAAGCAACCAGCGCCGCCAGCTGGCAGTTTCCCGCTGCGGCGGCACAGGTCGCGGCCAGTAGTCCCACGGCCGCGACGGCCGCCAACCCGACGGGCTTCCCGATGACCGGCGCGGCGGCGGGTGACATGAACGCCGCCGTCAGCGCCGCGGACAACTACTTCAACAGCGTCGGCAGCCAGCAGATGGCCGCGCTCGATCTGGGCGGTCGCGGCGACGGCGGTGCCGGGGGCGGTGGCGCGTCGCAGACCCAGTATGTGGTCAACCAGAATCAGCAACAGGTCTATCAACCCCAGTTGGCTGGTGGTGCGGCGACGGGAGAGCTGTTGCTGCTGTAATATCCTCTACGTAGTATTCCTGCTCATTCCGCTGCGTCCGTTCTTCATACTTATTTCATTGGGTTTTCCCCTTCTTGCATTCATCCTTTGAGCGATGCCAGCTTTTTGATCGCAGGCAGGGACTTGTGATACCTCTTATTATTCAACATTTCTATTATATGTATCATTTTAACTACACACAAAATGTAAAGAAGTTGGTGGGGGGGGGGCTGGATTCATGGTTTACAATTTTTATTGTATATCATACACACTTCCTACCCAATCTGCCTGCCTCTAGCAGAATTGAGGTGTATGGACACTAGTTTGCAAGATTGTCATTATTGCGCCAACCATCGATTGCAATGCACCAAAGACGCCGGGGACCATTGGATTAAAACATAGTAGTGGTAGTAGTGGTAGTAGTAGAGCGCTGCACCTAACGAGAATGCTCACTCATCATCATCCAACCGAGCAAGTCCACCACGACTACGTTTGAGGCGGTCATCCAGATTGTCTTCCTGGAGTTGGCGATGAAGACCCGACACAAAACGGCCTTTCTCAGAGCGATGCTTCTCGTCCTCCTCGAGCTGCTTCTGTTCCGCAGCGGTAACCTCTGCAATACGCTGACGACGGGTTTCCTCCATCTCGTCTGCGTTGGAAAGCATCTCTGCCAGTTTGCGCTGACGTTCTTGCTCCAAATCCTTGGCTCCCTGCTCCGTGTTGTTGTTGTTGTTGTTGTTGTTGTTGTTTTTGCCATCCTGCAGGTTCCGGTCACGATTGTACGAGTCCCTCGGTCCTCTGTAGTCCCTTCTGTCAAAGAAGCGATCGGATCTCTCTCGTCGATCGCGGTCACGGACGTCCTGACGAGCACCATCTCCCCGGTCATCAGAACGGCGTCTGTCTGAGCGATGGCGATCAGGTCGGGGTGACGGCGATCGATCACGGGGCGCATCCCGACGAGAAGAACGGTCGTAACGGTCCTCTCGGTCACGGTGATGCCTGCTGGAGTACTCTCTCTCGCTGCCGTCTCTGTCGCCGCGATCGCGGTCCGGGTCTCTTCTGTCGTAGTCGCGATCTCTGCGATCCCTGTCCTCCCTCCGATCCCGATCCTCTCGGCGATGATGATAACTCCGGTCGCCCCTCTCATCCCTCCGTCTTCTCTCCGAGCGATCCCCCGCAGCAGCTCTGGGTGACCTCTCCCTCTCCCGGTGCGACCTCCTATCCCCCTCATCGCTATACCTCCTACTCCTCCTACTACCCCGATGATCCCTCTCCCTGTCCCTGTCCCTACTCCCCTCCCGCCGCTGCCTCCTCTCCCTTTCCCTATGCCCCGCTCCAACACTCGCCCCCGCACCTCCCACCGCCTGGGACCCCCTCCTCACCCCCTCCTTAATCGCACTCTCCAAAGCCGCCTGCTCCCTCTTCCGAATCTCCAACAACGGATCCGCCAGAACCTTCGCCATCGTATCCCGGGGATTCGTCCCTGCAGCCGCGCCCGCGGCACCACCGTCCCCCGCACCCGCGACCGCGACCGCGCCCACCCCGGCGGCCCCCTTCTTCAGCGCCTGACTCTCATCGTTCTTCAGCAGAATCTGATCGAACCGCCGCTTGCCCAAGAGGTACCCTTCCATCTCCTCGGAGTAGTGGCCCGTGGCGCTCGACGGCTCCTGGTACATCCAGTCGACGCGCTGGATCTGGCGCGGGGCGCCCGAGTCCTCCTGCAGCCGCTGGAGTTCCTGGATCTGGCGCTCTTCGTCCCGCTCGCGCCGCAGCTGATCGATGCGTTTGCGCTCCTCGAGGGCGCGTTTCTCTTCCGCCCAGACGCGCTCCTGGTTGCGGAGGAGGGAGGGGTGCCATGATCTATTTTTTTGGAGCTGGTTAGTTGGTTGGGTGGAGGGGAGGAAAGGGCGGGGACGGGGTTTGGTGATAAGGACAAGGAGGATCTGGAAGGGAAGGTCGGGTGAGAGAGGACGTACTTCTTTAGGTTGAGATCACCACCCATCTTTGCGGTTGCGAATTAGATGAAGATGGGATAGGGGTCTGGTAGTAGTGGTGGTTTGTTTGGTTGGCAGATTGTTGTGAGGAGAAAAGATGGATGGAAGAAGGATGGAGCTCCGGCGGTTGTGACGATGCAGTGCCACAGGTGGGTGGGTTGTTCTTCCTAATCAGGAAGGATGGGTCCGGTCCCGAGTCGGGGCCCGGGGGCGGTGGCCGGAGCGGACTGCAAGGTGCATGCGGTGGAGGACCAGCCACAACTTGCAAAGAAGGTTGGCGCCACTGCGGGTCGCACTTTCTGCCCAACTTGTCGACGGACTATCTTCGGAGTGCCTTTGGCCACTGCATGAATGGTGCAGCTGCTGTACTATACAGAACATACATCGTACAGTGTAGTGACAGACAAGGATCTACTACGGAGTAGACTAATACTAGGAAAAGATCATCAAAGATTCTGCAGTTGTTGATGTAATGGAGTATGCCGACAGCAAAACTAAAACAACAGTCATCGCAGTGCATTGGCAGTTACACTGAACGACATTCAATGGATAGATAGGTACAACAAGAAAGGTAGGTAATATATGGAAGCAGATCATAGAACGACACCACGCCTATGCTCACACAGACCTCCTGGCAAGCTTGTGCGCAGTACACATACCAGCAGATCTCTCCATTAGTCTTCAACGCGTTTCCTTATTTATCCCAGCCAACATAACTCCGAGGCATCACACGCCATACCTTACATTCTCCACTCCGCAAGTCATTCAGCTTGAAGCTCTCCATTTTGACCTTCTTGCTTTCTCTGCCCTGCTCCCAGGCGCGGATCTTCTTCTTCGTGCCGTCCCAGTCAACGACAATGCCTACGTGATCGGGCTTGCCAACCTCGGAGCTGTACTTTTGATGCATGGTGCCACGATGGCCCTGGAACCGTGCGTTCCGGAAAGTCACAACATCTCCTGCGCGGATCTCATCATTTTGCTGAACCGAAGCATTGGCCAGGTTAGAGTAGACAAGAGCACCGTAGGCGCGCGTGCCAACAGGAAGCAGGACATCAGACAGAGGACTGAGTAGATGCTGCACCAGGCCATGTGGGGTACCATCCGCGACAGTAGTGTTCTGGATTCCATTGACTGCATTCGCAATGCGCGTGCCAATCTGGTTGTGGGCAGTCTCGAGTTGATCTTGACGCGGCTGATGAGGAGGCGCCTCGTGACGCTGTTCGAGGGCCGCATCACTGGGATTGCGAGCATCGAAGTTCACAGTGATCACAGTTTGGGAGTAGTCGATGAATAAGATATAAACATCCTTGGTCACAGTAGACTTACCGCCCCGCTTGGAGGAATTTGACTCCTCGAATTCGAGAAGAACATCCTTGCGATTCTGGAAAACCGGGGGCGGGGTATTGGGTTGTGTCCACCAAAGAGTATTCTCTGCCAAGTCAACGTCCGTGGCAATAAAGCCTAAATCGATAGATGGACGGGAAACATCCATAGATCTCCGAACACTGGGCTGGGCTCTTGGAATGTCCAGCGATGCACGATTGCTACGAGGTGTAGGCGGAGGTAGACTAGGGGGCGGGGGAGCCATTGAGGCGCGCTTTTCGCGAGGCGACGAAATGGACGTCTCGCCATAAGGCTGAACGGGTGAAGCTTCATAGAGATCATCGGACTCGTCTTCAGCGGACCGAGGAGGCATAGGTGGAGCTTCCACCGGGCCGCTGGGAACTGGTGGCGGTGGTGGTGCTCTCGAAACAGGCACGCCATGCTGGGGGGCAGTATAACGGTAAGGATCATACTCATCATCATCGCCGCCATATGAAGGCTCTCTTTGCGGTGGAGGAGGTGGAGGTCCTCTAGGCGACTGTATTGAGTCTCTGCCGGAACTCTTTGGAGGCTGGATCGGCGGGGGAGGGGGCACTGCGCGTGGGGCAGATAGTGGAGGGGGAGGCGGGAGACGAGTCTGGGGCGGGCTTCCAGGAGATCGAAGCGAGTGTTCGTCGGTCATGACACCTTCGTCGAGGCTAGAATCGCGGCCGTGTGACTTCAGAGCATCCTTGAATTTAGCACCAGATGCGATGTCCGTGTCGTAGTCGCCATCATATTCAGTTATTTCGCCTTCGGTACCCTCGCCAGCTTGGCGGGGCTGCGAAGCCATGCTTGTCCGACTGTCGGTTGTAGACCTTCGCCGCATATTGACTGGAGGAGGGGGAGGGATGGGTCTACTCTGAGATGGGACTGGGGGATTGACTGGTACTGGGGGAGGAGGGCGGCTCATTCTCTTGTCTGCAGGGAGTGTAGGTGACAAGGGAGATGTTGTATCGTAGGTCGATGCTCGGCGAGAGTCGAGATGGTCGGGGAGCGGAGGTGCTGGTTGCTCTGCTGCTGCAGTGGCCGGCGTAGCGTTCGGATGCAGGGACAATTCGTCATCAGATTCGTCTCCTGGATCAGCAGGTGCAGCGCCCTTGGGTGGGGGCAGAGATTGAGCTAGTTTCTCCAGATTAGGACAAATTAACACCCAGCACTAGTTTGAGCAAACTTACATCCTGGAATCGGCGGAGGGGACAAAGGCTGTTCATGAGGAACTGGAGGTGGTACCGGGCGCGTATTGAGTGGGGGAGGGGGAGGAACTGCGCGCTCTGTGAATGGTTTCAGCAATAGCCCAGGGGTATTAAAAAGCATCTTCCGTACCTTGCGGTGTAAATGGTCTATCGGCAGACATACGCCGTTGAGGAGGTTCTTCATGGACAACTTCCTCTACATCAGGAACTTCGTGTGCAGCATGCTGCTCAGTTATCGGACTTGCGGGAGACTCGTCCTGTTCTTCCTCCTGTTCTTCCTCTTTCTGGACATTAGGATAAACTGGAGGCTTTCCTGCATTCATTCCAGGCAAGGCCATGATAGGGACGGGAGGGGCTGCGGCGGGACGGGAGCTCTCATCATCAATGGCTCTCTCCGCCTCCACAGTCGCAGGCGCCTTAGGTTTGCGAACTGCACCAGGAATAGGCATCCCACCAGGGGGTCCGAAGAAACCCATCATACCCATACCACCACTCATCTTTGCCATTCTCTCTCGGAGTTCCATCTTCCGCTTGACCTCAGGGTCAATTTCCTCCTCTTCGTCCTCGTCCTCGTCTGGCTGGACTGGTTCCTCGGCTTTTTCGTTATCCTCATCTGACTGCGGTTCATCTGTACGTTCTGCCTTTGCCTGCGCATCCTGAGCCTGTGCTTGACGTCTAGCCTCTGCACGAGCCCGCTCGTCGGAGTCTTCCTTGCTCGTGGAAGTTTCCTCCGCATCCTCCGTGTCGGCAGCAGCAGAATCATCCGCATCATTGGTGTCACTGGCGAGCTCCTGCGCAGGTGGGGGTGGCATTGCATGCTGCGGCACAGCTGGTCCCACTGCTTCATGGGCAGATTCTCGTGCCGCATCGTTTGCTTCGGCTCCTTCGGCTGAAAGATCTTGTGTAGGAAGAGTGTCTTCGTGGGATTCGAGACGCTTCTTCGGAGGCCGCTTCGCCTTTTCCTTCTTTTGCACAGCTTCGGCATGACGTTGAGCCTGTTCCATCTGTTGTTTCTGGAGAAGCGCGATACGTTCCTTGAGACTTGTTGGCTTGGGCTGATCCTCCGCGCCTTCTTCCGGACCATCACTTGACAGGGGACGGGCCTCAGACACAGGAGGCTCTCGCGTAGGAAGTTCTCTCGTGACTCGTTCTTGAACATCAGGATCTTCTTCTCTGCGATATACCTTCTGCGGGGGAGGCTCTCTGGGCGGAGGTACATAGGCGTTCTTACTAGGTGGCGGTGCAACAAACGGTTTCCGGATAAACGTGTTGGAGCTCTGAGAAAGGCCGCCTGGCTTGAAAGGCGCAACTGGCGGCGCAGCAGGCTTGTTGAACGCCGCAATACGATCCTTGAAAGACGACCCGGTAGGCTTCTCGGCGACAGCGGGAGGCGGAGGCTTGGATACAGGTTTGGGGACGGGTTCACCAGCATCCCTCGTCGAAGGTTGGGGAATGGGAGCTGCTACCGGCTTAAACGGAGGGACCTCACTTGCCGGCGATGCCAGAGCTGGAGGGGGAGAGCTAGGTGGCTGAGGTACGGCCGCCGGTGTCTTTTCAACCTCGGGCTCAGGCTCAGGCTCAGGCTCAGATTCAAGCTCGGGCTCTGGTTCGGGCTCGGGATGGTAGGAACTCTCTGGAGCAGGGATTGCAGGTGCAGCAGCGGGCTCCGGGGGTGGCGGAACCGGCTCTGCTTCCTTTCTGGGTCTGCTGGGACGAGTCGGTCGCGGGGGTGCAGGGGGCTCATATCTTTCGACGAAATTCTTGGGGAAAATGCCCTCTACTTTGCGCCCGGAGTCGTCCGCATACTCACCAAAGTACCACTCTGCATCTTCTTCAGCTGTGACGGTTATAATCTGTCCGATAGCGAAATTAAGGTCGTCATCGTGGTCCGAAGAATACTCGAAGACCGCTCTGACCGTGAATGGCGGACTGGACATTTGGCAAGTTGGTGGTTCCCGCCACGGAGGTGAAATGGATGACTTGGGATCGGAGGAATGGATTGAATCGAAGTGACAGGTGGGATATCTGCAGGCAGAAGCACTAAATTATGTACGGCTTTATGCACCAAAACATATGCGAGATGTGCTTCACTGCGAGGTGGTCTGCTTTGAGGACAAGGAAAATAACAATAAGAATATGTCAGCCTGGTGGACTGACGTACGTCAGAGCATAGCGGATGGAGGGGGTGGGATCGGACACGCTCGCTCACACACCGCCAGAAGGACAGATGGTGGGATCCAGGCTAGTGAGAAACTTACTGCAGTCAGGAGGACACACTGTCCACGGAATAATAAATTATTCACAAAAGGGAAGGTAGGAAGAGAGGGACTATAGAGGGAGGAATTGAGAATTAGAGGCGGAAGGTAGGGAATGATGAGCGGGGGGGGATTTGGGGGGAGGGGGGGAGGAGAGGGAGAGGAAGAGGGAGGAATGAACAGCGAGGATGGATGTAAGGAAATGTAAGGCAAGTACAGTCAGTTACGACAAGTAGACTAGACTGTAGTTACAAAGTCGTTAGACTCGTTACAGAAAGACAGAAAGACCCTCCTTAGTCCTCTTTCACCTCTCTAAGTTCTCTCACTCTCACTCTCACTCTCTCTTGCTCGCCTGCTCTCACAAGCAGCTCCACCACGGGGGCGATCGGCGGCTAATAAGATTGAGCAGAGGCTGAACCGGTCATCCACCAATTCCATTGCCAATCTTCCAATCAATCAATCAACACATTTCACAAGTTGGCACCTAAATTGGGTGACTACCAGGTGCACATGCTGTCATTCTTCTCCTGATCTCCTGATTACAGTCGCAATTGGCCACCGATAGGTGATTCTGTAGCAGTTAGCAGGTCATAAGTATGAGTACGGAGCACTAACAAACCTCATCGTCATCCATGTGGGTGTTGTTACCAGAGTGCGCTTAGCTTCCCTTTCAATCCGGGGTTTTTGCCTCCTGCCGACCCGACCAAAATTGAACCTTGTTCATCTCTCACTCCGACCCTCTTCAGGCTGCCGATGCGTCTTGCCTTCCCTTTCCATCCGACTCACTATACTACTACGCCTCATATCTAGTCTCACTTCTGTTTTATTCCTTCCCGTTCTTTTCTTCCTCCGGTTGTATATATAATCTCCTCGTAATTATGTCCTCGGGTCGACAAGTACTCAAAACCTCACTCCCATCCGCTCACGCAGCTTCCGCTTCGTTAACCCGCTCAACCCCAGCTACCGCGCGTCAATCGCCACCCAAAGCGGGCATGTCACGACAAGAGCAAGGACCATTATCAGCCAGACCCGGCACTGATCCCCGTCATATGGCGATTGCGCTGCACCATGCGCGCCAGATCCAAGCTCAAAAGGACGCAGAGGCTCTCATTCTCGATCGCATTCTCGACCTCGTCCAGTTCCCTACCTCACCGTCCGCCGATCCTAGCTCCCCGTCCCTTGACGATGCTCGGGCCTTCAAGTCTGCATTGACACCCTTCCAACCCGCCGATTACGACAATCTGATCCTGGAAAGAAACATCGAAGGACTATGCGGGTATACTCTTTGTCCCCATGAGCATCGCAAGGAGGACTCCCGAGGCGCCTTCCGCATCACGTGGGGCGCGAAGGGCAGCGGCCCGGGCGGGCGCGGGCGCGAGATGAACATCGTCCCGAAGGAAAAGCTGGAGATGTGGTGCTCCGATGCGTGCGCGGAAAGGGCGATGTTCATCCGAGTGCAGCTCGCCGAGCAACCGGTGTGGGAACGAAGAGCGGACGATGCCCACGGCGCCCATATCCTACTGCTCGAAGAGGAACGGGCCAGAACACAGCAGCAAGGAAAGGGCAAGATGCGGAGCGCGCCCAGCGTCAACGAGGTTACTGGTCAGCTAGGTGACTTGCATGTGCACGAGGGAGCAAGCTCTAGCGACGTGTTCGATCACATGGCTAAGCTGTCGGTTCGTGATGACGCACGTTCGCAGGAGCTTGCCCTTGAGCGTGGCGATGCTCACCCAGCACTGTACACGGGTCGCGTGGACGTCAATGTGCAGGAGAACAGTCGCGCTGCTGGCCCGGTGATGGCACCGCAGATGCGCCCGGGAGACCAGAAAGGAGGCTCTATCGAAGGATATGTGCCTCGCGATCATTTACTCGGCGAGGGCAGAAATGGCAGTAATGATTGAATGGAGCCATTGGCATTACGAGGGGCGTTGTGTTCCAGGAATGATACCCAGATAAGATAGCAATCTACAAGATCTAAGACGATATAACACCTCGGTAGATCGACAAGAAACATCGATCATAGGGGGTCACAAGACGTGGCTGTCTAATAGGCGATGAAATGTGGAATTCCTACGCAGCAACCGGCCGTAGCGACCAGCTGGTGAACGGGAAGTGAATTGGCAATCAAGCGTCATCTCCGTTAGGAAAATCGGCGACACCTTGTTTGACGAAAGTCATGTTCATTCCTCATGAGTCTGTTTCTAGACTACAATGGTAGCTGGAAGCCTGCCAGAACAAGCATGAAAACGCCATGGATCGACCCAAGACAATCGTAAAACTTTGTCATTTTCCGCTCGAGGGCGCACAGATTTACCGGTAGCGACGGGGGCGCTCCTGGACCTGCTGCTGGGTGACGTTGACGACGTTGACCTTGAGGTTGTCGAACTAGAAACGCGAGACATATTAGCTTCCTTCGATTTCCCTCTTCTTTAAATCTTGGGAGAAAACTTACACCCAGGCTCTTGAGGAGATCCTTGGTGTCGGCGTCGACATCGAGCTGGCCGGACTCGGTCTGGGAGACATCCAGAGCAGAGACCTCAGGAACGTACTGATCCTTGCGCTCACGCTCCTCCTCCTGAAGCTTGAAGGAGATACCGCGGACAGGGCCACGCTGGATACGCTTCATAAGGTGGGTGGTGTAACCAGCAATCTAAATTCGAATCAAAAATCAGTGATCCACTCTTGATTTCTAGCGTCTTTCGGCGCGCGCGCGCAGAATTCTACTAACCTTGTTGCGGAGACGCTTGGAGGCAATGATGGCAATCTCATCGCAAATGCGCTTGTTGGTCTCGAAGTCGAGCGTCAACTTGGGGTAGTAACGCTCGATGATGACCTTAGCGGAACGCTTGACTGTCTATACGGCGAAATCGTCAGAATCGTGGCGGCATACACGCGATTTCCGTGGTGTCTCTGCTCACCTTGGTACGGACGCGACCCATTTTGGCGGTTTGTTGCTGGCTGGATGGATGTTCGAAACTCCGACTACGATTCCTTATGTCTCCCGCTCCTCAAAGACACCCGTCCTCGCTTAGCCGTGTGCGGATCACGTGCTGGTAATCGCCCTGATCGTCAGCCCTAACTATCTGCACGTGATATCTGATTTCAACCAATGCCTAACCTGCATTTATAGCTGACTAACTAGGTAGTTAAGTGTTGACTCCGTTACTACTACTACCTGTATTAACTGTACGTAAGAAAATACCTAGTACGTACCTGTATATCATGAGCACCGACTTATACCAAATCTTCTCATTGGTAGCTAAAGCAGCGATTACGGGTAAATTGGGGACCAGGCGGGCGTTCTAGAGCTTGAGAAAGGTTTGAATCTGCTACCATTTAATATGTATGGACCGCAATGTGCTTATACAACAGCAAAAGAGAAAAAGAACAGGAGTAGCTCTACAATGACCAAAAAACAAAACCACATAATCGTACAGACCGTACAGCTTTCTCACTAGCTGCAGAAATAAGCTGCACCATCAAGATAGAAATAAGATCACGAAAACGGATACGTCTCGCTCATACTTAGGTCAAGCTCTTCATGAGATCCCGTGCGAGAGTCTCCGGATTATCCGCTGGTGAGCCCAAGTCTTCCGACGCCGAAAATGTGCCAGGCAGGGGGCGAGCTCTATCCAACCTCGGCACCTGCCGCTGGCCACTTTGGGAGATGACACGGGACACATGTTTTGGTTTCGGCTTCTGGTACTCTGTGATGCCGTAAGGTGCTCTAGTATTAACAGTAGCGCGATAACTAGCCAAATCGATGCGACCGTGTGAATTGACGGAAGCCCGAACAGGGTTGACCCAGTACTTGGCACCACCAGGGATGGCGGCGTCAAACTGATCAATGCCAGCTGGCCCCTCATGCTCATTAAAGGCCATGGCGTTGATATCTTCCACAACGATACCAGCAACACCGCCGACCGCTTTTCCTCCCTTGTTCTTGAACCTGCCCTTGGGGCGCAAGACACGTGCCTCAACAGGACGTTGATAAGTCTGAGGTCCGAATCTGGGATGGTTGTAAAGCAAGGCGTGAGATCTGGTGTAGGACAGTCCTGCGGAGGGATGCGTCTTCGGAGGTCCGGACGCAACATACTCATCGGAAGACAGTTTGGGGGCAGGTGGATGGAAATACGTCTGTCTAACCATGTGTGCAATCATGTCGGAAGGTATCGCAGGAGGTGGTGGGAGATCCAGAATTTGAAAGATCACTGCACCTAAAGAGATTGAATCCGTACGCAGCGACTTGACATAGGCCTGAAACTCTTCCTCCACAAATTCGAAGGGTGTATCAATTTCCTCAAAATTCCCGCTGTCCTGTGCCTGCTTCCTTCGCTCGGTGGTTCGCTTTGCGATGAAATACTCGCGTAACTTCTCCATAATCTTCGGCTTGTTCCTGCGCACAGTCTTCAAGTAGGCCTGGAACTCCGCCTCTGTCTGACTGGCGAGGTATGGTCCAGAATGCCGGAACTTTTTGGCGGCAGGGTCGTCGAGGCCCGCGCTTGTTTCGGTGTTGTCCAAACGGGTTTCGAAAGGACTCGAGTGCCGAGGAGCTTGGCTGCTGGAGTAGCTGACTTTCTCAGGGAGGGACATCGGCAAATGGAGTTCTTGAAACTTCTCCAAGGTCACCGTATGATCCGCCGCTGATTCGAAATCCGTAGTATGTTCGAAGGTGTCGAGGGCATTGAGTCGAACCACAGGCCGTGAGGATCTAGCAGACGTTGTCTTTGCCGGCAGAGGTCTCTTCAAACCCCAGTCACCCTTCAGAAGAGAAGATGCTGGTGTGACAATGGCCGCTCGGATAGGGTGAGGAAGGGTTGCGGAATCGGATTCAGTGACCGTTCTCGAAGTTGGTTGTTCTTGAGGCGGAGTCAAAGCCTGCGGAAGTGCAAACAGGCGAGAATTCCGCAGCAAATTTGCTGTCGGGGATAGGCTGACTCGCACCATGGCGCCGGACTTGAAGTTGGGACGTTGTGCGGGTGGTCACTGTCCGGAGGAAGCTGGAGAAAAGTTGATTAATCCTCTACAGCCGCGCCAAGCCGTGGGTTACGGCAGCCCACAACAACACATCATGCACCTGATCACCGCTCACTTAGCGCAGGATTGTAAAGTCTGTTGACTGTGATACCAAGCCATAAAATAAAAAACCCTTTGGTTCATGTGAGCCAGGCGAACACGATCGAACACGATCGTGCGGTACCACCTATGGCACCAGGGCCTGTCTGAATATTTCACTCGATTATTATGTTGGCGGTACTCTGAATATCGCTATAGAAAACACTGTACCTAGACCGACATCACATCTGATTCTGATTTGCAAAGATTGTATGTGGTAGAAAGTTAACAGCAGCTGTCGGTCTCTCTTTGAAGTTGGTGCTCGGAGATGAGGTACAAGTATTTTTTGAATCTGTGAGGTGCTTCAGCTTGTGGAATGTTCGCTACACCGAAGGTGTAAAACCCATTTTAAGGAACTATTTTTGACTGGGCGATGTCAAGTTATCATGAACATTCAGCTATCTTCAAAGATTCAGGCCTCTTAGAAGATCTACATCTCAGACATCTGCACATACTAATCTGATGCAATGCGAAGGTCTCAGCGTCTGTAAGCTAGGGCAGGCCAATGAGTTGCATTTTATTGACGCAAACAGTGAAGGGCTGCTATAGAGCCAAGTGAGCTATATCACAGGTATATTAACAGTTTCTTCAGGCAGAAAGTTATGAGACTATCACAATCACGGTTTCTGCATTCGAAGTAGGCTTCAGTCATGATTTCCAATGCAGAGCGCTTCAGATCCTTTCTTGAAGTGAAGTACTCAGGTTATAAGGTCTTGAATATGTAGTTAACACTGACTTGCTCTTTCAAATGGATGGTACGTAGCGCATCATCATATATGATCACGCAGAAACGCTGAGAATTGACTTGACAGTGTCAACAACTGTTTCCCTCAGTTGCCGATACTGAATACCTAGAATCTCAATCGACTTCTTGTTGTCGTAGCCATACACATCATCAGGCAAGTCGCTAGGCGCATTCGTTGAGGGTAGCTTGTCTGCGATCTCAGGAAACGACTCTCGTACCACTTCCACAAGCTCTTTGTTGGTAAAGTAGCCAGAAGTGGTGAAAAACCTTTGCCCACCGGCTTCAGGAACCTCGATAGCCCTAACATGGGCTAATGCGACGTCATGGACATCGACCCACAAGAACGTACCCGTAGGAGGAAGGCCATCTTTGAATTTCCCTTGGACCAGGTTTGCAAGTCTTTGGTTAGAAGTATTGATGGCGTCCAGAGAATTCAGGTAGGGAACAACAGGACCGAAAACCAGAGGCGGGTTGATGGTTGCAATGTCGAAGTTTGGCTTTTCCTTCTCGACGAATTCCCAAGCGGCCTTTTCAGCAAATGTCTGTACGCAAAACGGTCAGTAAGAGCTGCCGTGGATTAGGATTTTATTTGACAGACGGGTGCATCTCACCTTGCTTGCTCTGTATGTTTGAGCAGGATCCATAGCCTCCTCCCACGTTACAGGGTTCCAATTCTCCTCACTGTACACCTTCGCATGTGCTTTAGGATTGACGATTGCGGCGAAGGATGATGTAACCACCACCCGCTTAATAGATGGAGCATGGGCTTTGATTGCTTTCAAAATGCCGGTAGTACCCTTTACGGCTGGCTCCAAGAAATCCTTCACAGGGTCTGAGATGTTAAAGTGAAATGGCGATGCGGTATGTAGAACATAGTCGAACGGCGGATCGGATTTGATAGCCTAAATTTAAGAATGCTTTAGCCGTGATACAAGTAGAGAAACAAGATTGACCATACTTCGTCAAATGCGCCATCTGCCGCAACATCCTGAACAATAGTATAGGAGAGCTTCTCCTTTGGTGTGTTTGGATGCGCATTAAGGATTTTCTGGCCTTTTTCATCGGACCGCACCGTAACAACTGTATCAAATCTGCAGTTTTGGGGCCTCGTTCAGCATTGAGAAAATTAAATAGGCCGTAGCCCCAACTTATATCCTTTGCACTCACCCACGCTCTAAGAGATTGTCGACGATGTGAGCAGCAATGAAGCCACTACCTCCTGAGACAAATTGTCAGTCTTCTCCACGGCAAGCACTCTCAGCCGGGTCTTTCTTACCAGTAAGAAGGACTTTAGGCATATTGAGTATACTGGCACTAGTCTTCGTCGTTGAAAACTGGAAATGAGTAGAGGTTGGAGGTATTTTCGATTTATTTGGAATATCTCGAGGGGTTCTTTCTTCTCCCTTTTAATACCTGGGGATGCACTTTTACCCCTCAAATGACGAACTATACGCCCCCACCTACGATCCACTGTTGGTCATATCATACGAACTCGATAGGCGCCCACTCTGATTACAAATACTGGAAACAGATCGCGAGTAGAGGAGATAGGAGATGGCCATCCAGCTCCGCGATATTACTGGGGTTCAAATTGTGGCTGTCGGCTGTTGTCCACTGAGTCTGCTCCCAAGCGCCTGTAGGCGGATTTAGAGGAGGCAGATTTGCTGACATTGCGTTATCGGATAAGCACCCTAGACCGGATTTACGATAACAGCGTTTCTTAGTTCCTGATCGTGGACACTAATACACCTGGGAAGTTAGATCAGGCAAGTGACCCCGTCTACCTATGGCAACTACGGAGTAAAAACAGGACTTCTGCTGATGATATTGCCACTGAACCCTCATCTCAGAACTCAGTCATAAAATTATTTGGTCATACATCTTTTCAGCTAAAAATGTAGCCGCCGCCCTCAGTAAGCTTCGTCCAGTCTACTCTGTCCCGTATGCTGAAATAACAACTATCTTAATGTTATACTTCTGAAAAGGGCCCAGTTGCCCGCCTCAAAAAAAGACTACATGGATGGTGCTTGAGTTGAGTCTCACTACAACCATGACCACAACAACAAGAGTTCTATAGATCGAATTGATATTTCAGTGGCATGCACAAGTGCATATTTCATCCCCTTAGCCGAGTGCGTTACAATGCTTATTTTGCAACTAGAAACAGCCGATTAACCGAACAATTGAGACCTGTAAAAATCACATAGTCGAAGGCATGCATATTCAATTGCGAGGGTGGAGATTGGGCATGGTTTATGATAGGAGTCGCCATGATCACAATGAAAAATATAAGGCCTGGTACAGGCTTGGCCAGTGACATGGCCGTTAAAACTTAAGTCCTGGTGATAAATGAAATGTATGAAGAGCAGGGGTGAATTCAGTTCTTTTCACATAGAAGTTACAGTATCCCACTTCAGCGGGCGAGTCACTGCACACCCGCATCCCAACCAGGCAGGGTACACTTTCATGCCTCAGGCTATCAGTGGTCCGTGCACGGGTTTCCGGAGGCCGTCAACCTCACCTCCCGCATCGCTCAAGGCCGCCCATATCGGCTCTCCACCCCATGTCCAACTCGTGTCATCGTGCATGCCCTAGAGGTTGACTTCAAATGTCCACCCTGGGGTGTGGTACGCAATATGGCGCAAGCAGGTCCTATCACGGACGTCACTCAACGACTCTTCATCGAGTTGAAGTCTAAGAACGAGGAAACGCGGGTGCGAGCTGCTTATGAGCTCTACGACAACGTCGTTGCCATCTCACGAGGTAACACTTTCGGCATCGGTCGCACAAGAAATAAGGCTAATACTTCGCTCTTTGGTAATAGACTGGCCTCCAGAGAAGTTTCTCGAGTTCTTTAACGCAGTTAGCCAGCGCATCGCACAGCTCGTGGTTACCGGCAATGACGCACACGACAAGATTGGCGGACTATTAGCTCTCGATCGCCTAATAGATTTCGATGGTGTGGACGCAGCTCAGAAGACAACTCGGTTTGCAAGCTATCTTCGGAATGCCCTACGAAGCAATGATACTGCGGTCTTGGTGTACGCAGCTCGGGCACTTGGCCGTCTGGCCAAGCCCGGTGGAGCTCTTACGGCAGAATTGGTCGAGAGTGAAATACAATCTGCTCTAGAGGCTCTTCAGTCTGAGCGGCAGGAAAGCAGGCGGTTTGCTGCGGTACTTGTTATCCGGGAGCTTGCCAAAGGCTCACCGACACTGCTCTATGGCTTTGTCTCCCAGATATTCGAGCTCATTTGGGTCGCTCTTCGCGATCCCAAAGTGCTCATCCGAGAAACTGCTGCCGAGGCCGTCAGCGAATGCTTCGAAATCATTGCTGCCAGAGATATGCAAGTTCGGCAACTATGGTTCGCACGAATCTACGAAGAGGCGCTGCTGGGTCTCAAATCCAGCAACGTGGATTGGATTCATGGATCGCTTTTGGTGCTAAAAGAGTTGCTTCTCAAAGGAGCCATGTTTATGAACGAACATTACCGGAATGCATGCGAGATTGTCCTTCGTCTCAAGGATCACCGTGATCCCAAGATACGCACCCAAGTCGTTTTGACCATTCCGATCCTCGCCTCTTATGCTCCACTCGACTTCACAGAAACCTATCTACATAGATTCATGATCTATCTTCAAGCGCAACTCAAAAGAGATAAGGAAAGGAACTCTGCATTTATTGCAATTGGAAAGATTGCCAATGCGGTCGGTGTTGCTATCGCACAATACCTCGATGGTATCATTGTTTACATCCGAGAAGGCCTTGCTATGAAAGCGTAAGATGCATTTCCTGCCCCTGCGCAATATCCTAAACACCAGAAAAGCTAACCCATCTAAGCCGCAATCGAGCTGCCGTAAATGAAGCGCCGATGTTCGAATGTATCAGCATGTTGTCGCTGGCCGTGGGACAGGCACTCAGCAAATACATGGAAGCACTGCTCGACCCTATCTTTGCATGCGGGTTGAGCGAGTCTCTTACCCAAGCTCTGGTCGATATGGCCCATTACATCCCTCCCATAAAGCCGATAATTCAAGAGAAACTCTTGGATATGCTGAGCCTGATTCTCTATGGTACCCCTTTCCGGCCGTTGGGTTGTCCTGAGAGCAGATTGCCACCCATGCCTTCCTTTGCCCGGGATTTCGGACCTCAGGAACTTCATTCTGACACCGAAATTGCACTTGCACTTCACACGCTCGGGAGCTTCGACTTCTCGGGACATATTCTCAACGAATTTGTTCGTGATGTAGCCATCAATTATGTCGAGAATGACAATCCTGAGATTCGCAAGGCATCCGCACTCACTTGCTGTCAATTGTTTGTCCATGACCCCATCATCAATCAAACAAGTAGTCATTCGATACAAGTTGTCAGTGAAGTTATCGACAAACTTCTCACAGTCGGCGTGGGAGATCCTGACCCAGAGATCCGGCGGACAGTCTTATGGTCTTTGGACCGAAAGTTTGACCGTCATCTTGCCAGACCGGAGAATATCCGTTGCCTCTTTCTAGCAGTTAATGATGAAGTGTTCCCCGTCAGAGAGGCTGCTATCTGCATCATCGGTCGCCTGTCCAGCGTTAACCCAGCTTATGTCTTTCCACCACTCCGAAAGCTGCTCGTTAATCTTTTGACAAGTCTCGGATTCGCAAGCACTGCTCGTCAGAAGGAAGAGAGCGCCCAGCTGATCAGTCTCTTTGTTTCGAATGCTACGAAACTCATCAGATCTTACGTAGATCCGATGATCACTACATTGCTGCCAAAAGCCACTGATGCGAATCCGGGCGTCGCTTCAACCACTCTCAAGGCTGTCGGAGAGCTCGCAAGTGTTGGCGGTAGCGAAATGAAAACGTACCTGCCGCAACTTATGCCAATCATTCTCGACGCATTGCAGGATCTGTCGTCTCATGCGAAGCGAGAGGCAGCCTTGCGAACTCTCGGACAATTGGCTAGTAACTCCGGATATGTCATAGACCCGTACCTCGAGTACTCTCACCTCCTTGCTGTCCTGATCAACATTATCAAAACGGAACAGACTGGATCTCTCCGCAAGGAAACCATCAAAGTCCTAGGAATATTGGGGGCCTTGGACCCCTACAAGTATCAACAAATCAGCGAAACTGCGCCAGATATCCATCACATCAATGAGGTGCAAACCGTCTCGGATGTCGCTCTCATTATGCAGGGCCTGACACCCTCCAACGACGAATATTATCCGACAGTGGTCATCAACACACTAATGCAGAACATCTTGCGTGAGAACTCCCTTGCTCAGTATCATTCTGCAGTCATCGATGCAATCGTCACGATTTTCAAGACATTGGGCCTCAAGTGCGTGCCCTTCCTTGGACAGATCATCCCGGGCTTCATTTCCGTCATCAGAGGATCTCCCCCAAGCCGCCTCGAGTCTTACTTCAATCAGCTGGCAGTCTTGGTGAATATTGTACGGCAACACATACGGGCTTTCCTTCCAGAGATAATCGAAGTCGTTCGTGACTTCTGGGATGCCTCATATCAAGTTCAAGCCACAATCCTTTCCTTGGTTGAGGCAATAGCAAAATCTCTGGAAGGAGAGTTCAAGAAGTATCTTGCAGGCCTTATCCCACCCATGCTTGACACATTCGAAAAGGACACTACACCGCGCCGACAACCTTCTGAGAAGATCCTACACACCTTCCTGATATTTGGCCCTAGCGGCGAGGAGTACATGCATCTTATTGTGCCATCTATTGTGCGCCTGTTTGACCGGACACAAAATCCGATAAGTATTCGAAAGTCTGCTATCGACACTTTAACGAAGCTATCACGCCAAGTCAACGTTTCGGACTTTGCATCCCTGATGGTTCACTCTTTGTCACGCGTGGTTGCTGGCAATGACCGCACCTTGCGCCAGGCTGCCATGGATTGTATCTGTGCACTTATCCTCCAGCTCGGCCAAGACTTCAACCATTACATACATCTTTTGAACAAAGTCTTGAAGGCACATCAGGTTAGTCATAGCAACTACCACATGTTGGTGACCAAGTTACAGAAGGGAGATCCTCTTCCGCAGGATCTCAACAACCCTGATGAAAACTATGCAACACTTGCAGATGACGCCAATTATGCAGAGATTGGACAGAAGAAAATGCTTGTCAACCAGCAACATCTTAAGAGTGCCTGGGATGCTTCTCAAAAATCCACTCGAGAGGATTGGCAGGAATGGATCAGACGTTTCAGCGTGGAACTGCTGAAAGAGTCTCCCTCCCCAGCTCTACGTGCGTGTGCCAGCTTAGCTGGCATCTATCAGCCACTAGCAAGGGACCTCTTCAATGCTGCCTTCGTCTCATGCTGGACGGAGCTGTATGATCAGTATCAAGAGGAACTAGTCCGGTCAATCGAGAAAGCGCTTACTTCGCCGAACATCCCTCCTGAAATCCTTCAGGTTCTGCTTAACTTGGCAGAATTTATGGAGCATGATGACAAAGCCCTCCCGATTGACATCCGCACCTTGGGCAAGTATGCCGCTAAATGTCACGCTTTCGCCAAAGCCCTCCACTATAAAGAGCTGGAATTCGAACAAGATCAGAACTCTGGAGCAGTTGAGGCTTTGATCACCATTAACAACCAGCTTCAACAGTCCGACGCCGCTATCGGAATCCTGCGCAAGGCACAGGCGTACCGAGATGTCGAACTTAAAGAGACGTGGTTTGAGAAGCTTCAGCGCTGGGAAGAAGCCCTCGCTGCTTACAAGCGGCGTGAAAGGATTGACCCTGATTCTTTTGGAGTTACCATGGGTAAAATGCGCTGTCTTCACGCTCTTGGTGAGTGGAAGGTACTTTCAGACCTCGCTCAGGAGAAGTGGAATCAAGCATCTCTTGAACACCGAAGAGCAATAGCACCTTTAGCCGCTGCTGCTGCCTGGGGACGTGGACAGTGGGAACTGATGGACTCTTACCTGGGCGTTATGAAAGAGCAATCCCCGGATCGCTCTTTCTTTGGCGCAATTCTGGCTATCCACCGAAATCAATTTGATGAAGCTACGATGTACATTGAGAAAGCGCGCAATGGCCTGGATACCGAGCTTTCCGCTTTGTTAGGCGAGTCGTACAACCGTGCTTATAATGTTGTTGTGCGCGTCCAGATGCTTGCTGAGTTGGAGGAAATCATCACCTACAAACAGAACATTGGTGATCCTGAAAAGCAGGAATCCATGCGTCAAACCTGGAACAAGCGACTTCTTGGATGTCAACAAAATGTGGAGGTATGGCAACGCATGCTCAAGGTTCGAGCACTTGTTACGTCGCCTCGTGAAAACCTTGAAATGTGGATCAAATTCGCCAATCTATGCCGAAAATCTAATCGCATGGGCCTTGCTGAGCGATCTCTTGCATCTCTCGAAACTACTGTGTCCGACAGCAATGGCACGCGGGTCATTGCTCCCCCAGAAGTTACTTATGCCCGTCTCAAGTTCAATTGGGCTACTGGCCGCCAACGTGAAGCGTTACAAATGCTTAAAGAGTTTACTTCAGGCCTTACAGAAGATTTTACTCGGTACAACACCCTCATACTATCACAATCCGACCACGGCGGAGTCAATGGTGTCAATGGAGTGAACGGGGTGAATGGGGTGAATGGTGTCACTGATGCGAATCATCCTGATGCTCAAGGGCTACGGGAACGCATTGGCGATGTGGCCAAATTCAGGAAGCTTCTGGCTAAGAGTTATCTCCGACAAGGCGAGTGGCAGACTGCCATGCAAAGAGGTGATTGGCGGCCCGAGCATGTTCGTGAGGTGCTCAACGCTTATGCCGCTGCTACAAATTACAATCGCGATTCATACAAAGCATGGCACTCTTGGGCATTGGCAAACTTTGAAGTTGTCACGACGATTGCAAGCCAAGCCAGCAGAGATGGCACGACCATGGCGATGGTGCCGAGCCACATTGTAACGGAACATGTGATACCCGCACTCCGGGGCTTCCTCAGGTCCATCGCATTGTCGTCAACATCTTCCCTTCAGGACACTCTCCGACTCCTGACTCTGTGGTTCGCCCATGGTGGTGATACAGAGGTGAACAGTGTCGTCGTTGAAGGCTTTACGGCGGTCAATATCGACACCTGGCTTGCAGTTACCCCCCAGCTTATCGCTCGAATCAATCAGCCCAACATTAGAGTACGGAGTGCAGTTCATCGACTACTATCCGAGGTTGGCAAAACACATCCTCAAGCATTGGTTTACCCATTGACGGTTGCGATGAAATCGAATGTTACGAAGCGTTCACAATCTGCAAGCAGTATTATGGACAACATGCGACAGCACAGCGCAAAGCTGGTCGAACAAGCCGATTTGGTTAGTCATGAGCTCATCCGAGTCGCGGTTCTGTGGCACGAATTGTGGCATGAAGGCCTGGAGGAGGCATCTCGGCTCTACTTCGGTGATCACAATGTTGAAGGGATGTTCGCAACCCTTGCACCTTTACATGACATGCTTGACAAAGGGGCAGAAACATTGCGTGAAGTATCTTTTGCGCAGGCTTTCGGTCGAGATCTTGCTGAGGCGAAGCATTACTGTATGCTTTTCCGTGAGACTGAGGAGATTGGCGATTTAAACCAGGCATGGGATCTCTACTATACTGTGTTCCGCAAGATCAGCCGGCAGCTTCCTCAGTTGTCGATCCTCGATCTCAAGTATGTTTCCCCCAAACTCAAGGACTGTGTTGACCTCGACCTTGCCGTTCCTGGAACCTACCAAAGCGGTCGACCCATCATCCGAATTGTCAGCTTCGACCCCATATTGCATGTTCTGCAGACCAAGAAGAGACCGCGTAGAATGACCCTCAAAGGCAGCGACGGCAACTCCTATATGTACGCGCTCAAGGGACATGAAGATATCCGACAAGACGAGAGAGTCATGCAACTATTCGGCCTTGTTAACACCCTTCTGGATAATGATGGGGAGAGCTTCAAGCGCCATCTATCTGTGCAACGATTCCCTGCCATTCCCCTGTCACAGAGCTCCGGTCTACTAGGCTGGGTCTCCAACAGCGACACATTGCACGCATTGATCAAGGAATACCGAGAAAGCCGTCGGATCTTACTCAACATTGAACATCGTATCATGCTTCAGATGGCACCAGACTACGATAATCTCACGCTCATGCAGAAAGTGGAAGTATTCGGGTACGCCATGGACAACACTACCGGGAAAGATCTTTATCGTGTCCTTTGGCTCAAAAGCAAGAGCTCCGAGGCGTGGCTTGAGCGGCGGACGAACTACACTCGATCTCTTGGTGTCATGTCTATGGTCGGCTACATACTTGGCTTGGGCGATCGCCACCCGTCTAACCTCCTTCTCGATCGAGTTACTGGCAGAGTGGTTCACATTGACTTTGGTGATTGCTTCGAGGTGGCCATGCACCGAGAGAAATACCCAGAAAGGGTGCCTTTCCGCCTTACTCGCATGTTGACATTCGCAATGGAAGTTAGCAACATCGAAGGCAGTTATCGTATCACATGTGAAGCGGTTATGCGTGTTCTCAGAGAGAACAAGGACTCCCTTATGGCTGTGCTCGAAGCGGTGAGTCTCCTATCTTTGGGTGGAATCTGACAAGGATATTTACTGATTGTCTTGATAACAGTTCATTCATGATCCCTTGATCAATTGGCGTCTTGGAGTCCGCGAATCGCCAGATCGGATGCCCTTCTCCGCAGAGCGTCGCCAGTCTGTCGTTTCCAATATCAATCTTGAGCATGGCGTGCAGCCAAGCAACTTCTCGCGCCACCGCCGCCCATCAATCCTTGAAGGCGGTATTCTAGATGCACAGGAAGGAATCCCTAACGAAGCACGAGAAGCACAGAATGCACGCGCGCTTCAGGTACTTGCGCGGGTCAAAGAGAAGTTGACCGGTAGAGATTTTAGGCCCAACGAGGAGCTCAACGTCAGCGATCAAGTTGACAAGCTTCTTGCTCAGGCTACCAGCGTGGAGAATATCTGCCAGCATTGGATTGGTTGGTGCAGTTTCTGGTGATTATGTTGTCCTGTCCATTATGGATTTCTGGTTCTCGAGGAGGCGCAACTTGTGATGATGGATTTTTTGCATGGCATGGCTACAATTTCCCTTCTTCCTTACTTATTCTCCACCTTCTCGACTATCTTTTTTTTGTCTTCGTCTTTCTGTGTGTAGTATTATCACTTATTTGCTCTTGCGTCTTTCTTCTCTCTCCCCGCCTCTGTCCCTTTGAGGAAGTAGGCATTGTCAGGAGCTGCCGTTCATGACATTATTCTTTTGCATGTCTCAATTCGATAATTGCATGTTGCTCAAGGCGGGATGAATTACGGGATAGACGGTTAATGGTGAATTTTTTTTGCAATGAATCGTGCCAATTTTAATAGAGAATTCCATCCATCGCATAACGGGATCAGCACGTGTTTTGATGACTAGCCGAGGTCACGGGCGGACACAGGATTGAAGGAATCTCCTTGGATTCCTTCCTTCCATCTTCCCACCCTTAATTATCTTCCCTGCCATTCTTTTCTTTTGCGCTTTCATCCCTCTTCCATATCTCAGGATGTGACCGGAACCATTCCGGCCACCATCAGTGAGAAGCATGGCGTCAGACACCCCGCCCGACCCCGAAACCCATCCTGTGGTTCGCAGCATCCTCCGCATTTCCCTCAGCGCCAAGGAATACAAGCGTCTCCACGATTATGCCATCCAACGCACTCCTTTATCCGTCCAGGGTAGGCTGCCGTCTCCATCCAAGTACGAGGCCATTATCGGCTCGAAGAACAAGCACAATGTCGCTGCTGTGAGGGTAGCACTGCGGACCTTCCTACTCTCGTTATCCCTCACAAAGCTCGCCGACACCGCGATAAACCGGATACGCGGGGATCTATCGAGGTACTGTACTGTACACAGTCCTCCCTGTTCGCGTTGTAGACTGGCAATGGTTAACATAGATCTCATCGCTTCCAACAGCAAAGGACCGAAAGCCTCATCATCCACCCGCTCCCCGAAACTTCGCATATCCGCGTCGCTCGCGCTTCTTCTCCTGTTTCACCGATTCCTTTATCGTTTCTTCGTCAAGCTGCGCGCCAACCTCCGCACCGACGACGCTCGGCCATTCCGAGATCGCAACCCACGAATCTCCAATGTGCTTACTTCGCGCTTTGCTCCTGCCGTCGGGGCCAGTCTGGCAGGATTTGCGCTAGGGATTTGCCCACGAAGCCAGTTTCGCATAATCGCAGCCATCTATTCGGCCACCCGTGGCTTGGAGTTCTTGTTCAATGCATTGGATGAAAAGGGCTGGTTTGACAACCGGCCTGCCTGGTTCGGTAGCTGGTTGCTGATGCCAATTTCTTGTGCGCAGCTGTTTCATTCGTTTATTTTCGATCGAGAGGCCGTGCCATCGGTAAGTACAAGGATAGGGATGTTCTTCATCCAGGAACAACAAAAACTAAATCTTGCTTGCCAGTGGCTTGGAATGTTGATCCTCAGACTCTCCCCGAGTTACATCCGCGGTCGTCCCGAAAGTCTGCCTTTGGACGTCGCTTGGCCAGACAAGGAGGATGTCGTGGATTCACTCGCAACTATATCTGCTCTAAGGTGGCCGTGAGTGAACCCCCGCCCTCCCTATCGTCTAAAATGTGCTGGATTCCCGCCCGTGTACTGACCACTGATGAACCAAACAGATCGTTCGTGTCGCCCATTTTACACCCAGGCACTTCAAAGACACTACCTTCGTCATTGGCGTCGATCTCCCCGGTGACCGGTTCCGCGCACCCAGCCATATCCAGCTTGTCCTGCGCACTGCTCCACCCCAGCAGCCCCAGCTGCAGCACGGCCTTCCTGCACCATATCCTTCTCTCCGTGCCGCCCCTCGCGCGGTTTTTAACCGCCGCCACCCTGGCGCTCTCCTTGCGTAACCTCAAAAACCTGGCGCTCTCCTTGCGTAACCTCAAAAACCTGGCGTCCCACCCCATCACGTCGCTGAACGAACTGTCCCAAAGAATCATGAAGCTGACCGCCGTCCTGTCGGCATCGGCCGGAACCGCCTGGGCTAGCATCTGCCTGTGGAACGCCATCCTCCCGCGGTCCACGATGGCCACGAAGCGGTTCTTCCTGAGCGGGGCCCTCGCGGGCGTGCCGTTCGCGTTTCTGGGCCCCCAGCGCAGCGTCTTCCTGTCGTTCTTCCGCGCCGCGATCGCGACGGCCTGGAAGACCGCGGGCAAGCGCGGTCGGTGGACCGGGTGGAAGGACGGGGAGTTGTGCGTCATCGTGGCGAGCTGGGCGCTGATGGGGTGCATCTTGGATGCCCGACCCTCCGCGGTGCAGGGGAAAGGGGTCAGGGTGGCGCTCTCGTGGATGCGAGGCGATGGGCTCGCCGACCCATTGCGGGTAGCCGAGAAGAGGAAGGCGAAGAAGGCCGCGGCGCAGAAGAAGGAGAAGGCGGAGGACGATGCGCGGACTTAGCGGCGCTGCAGGCAAATCTTGTTATGTTGTTGTCGTTGTGTTAGCAGGCAGTTGTCCACGGAGCTGGACTTCGGTCCTTCATATTTGGCAGATAAGTTATGATTTTCATGGTGCCACGCTGTCTTGGTTCCGATGAATGAGCGCGCACCCCCTTGGTTATGGTCTTGGTACGGTAGGTGTAGACCGGAGGGCGGAGGAACACTGAATGCGCTATATGCGTAGGTACATAATCGAGGATGCTATTTGTTCTCTACAAAAGAGATTGCAAGATTCTCATATCAACATGACCACATTATAAAATGTCTAGTCTGTGCTTCAGAAGTCTCTAATTTTGCAGTACATATGAAAATTAGTCAGCAACAAACAAGAGGAGAACCAGCCAACTCAGGGTGAACACAGGTCACGGCAGCTCTTTTCTAGGGTGGCGTGGAACGTTCGCCGTGCACGTGATGCCAAGGCCATTACTAAGCAGTTTTTGTTCCACGCGACCCTATAAATTACTGTTTCTTATTATTGAAATTCAAATTCCCCCTATATTCTTAAATACTCTTACATACACTATTTTCTAAGTTATTTTCTAAGTACTTGTTAAGTACTTAAAAAATAACTTAGAAAATAAAATAAATTCCTAATAAAGAACCCTAATATAAAAAGAATAATAAAATATATTCTCTAATAAAAAATCCTAATGTAATATAGACCCTAATAATCCTAATAATCCTAATAATCCTGAATTACTTATAAAGAATGTTTTAAGTACTTTCTAAGTACTTAAAATATATTTAAAAAAGTAACTTAGAAAATAACCTATGTAAAAGTATTGAAAAAATGGTGTGGAATGAAATTTTGGATTTATGTAAATAAAAGGTCGCGTGGAAATCATGTGATAAAGCTGCTTAGTAAACAGTTTTTGTTCCACGCGACGCTAAAAACCGACATAGCCGATCTGCAACCTCCCAACTCACATTCAGGTGAACACAGTTCATCTGATCTCTTTTCAGGGTTCATGTGGAACGTTCGCCGCGCACGTGACGCCATGGCTATTAGAAAGCAAATTTACGTTCCATCTCAGTTTTTCTGTTTTTGTTATTCATTTACCTGTATTATATGTTCATAATCAATCCTAGTGTAAGGGAATAATAAAGGTATTTACTTTTAAAAGTCCAAATGTTATAGACTCTAAGAGTCCTAAGAATCCTAAGAATCCTAATAGCCCTAATAGAAATAGTTGATCAGTACTTATAAATCTGTAATTTATGTAAAAGGTGATGTGGAATGAAAAGTGCTTACAGATTTGGTATCTGATGATATCCTTAGGCGGCGAGTGGTTTTCGTGCCACGCCATCTAAAAAAGCAGTACAGCCAACCTGCCAGTAGTTATAGGTCGCGTGACCCTTCGGGAACGGTCGCGTGAACCTTTCCCCCCCTACACGTGACTGAAACGGGCGTTAGTCATCGAGAACAAATCGCATGATCTTTTTGATTACTGTACCTTTCCGCTAAATTTCAACTTTCCTTCTACTTAATGTTACAGTATACTTGTAAGTAGTTACTGAGCAAGTCAAGTACTTAACTTATTAAAGATTTTGTACAGATTCTATATGTAGATCCGGATAGAGGATTCGATCTACAAGAAGTAGCGGTATTCAATGGCTTAGCAGCTACTTAATTAAGGACCACTTGTGATAAGCACTCGAAAAGACAGTTCGCACATTATTCGGCCATGTTGAGGGCGGTGGTAGATGGTAACTTATGTATGTGTAAGGAAGCGGAAAGAGGTGGTGCGATTTGAAATTTTGTGCTGTAGGTCAGCTATGTTGCTTGTTAGGGTCGCGCGGAACGAAAACCACTAAATCTTAAATGTCAATACTGTATGTACCTGTAAGGGCTTTTCATTCCACATCATCTTGACATAAATTACAGATCGAGTACAGAGTACTTATATAGATCAAGTACAATCTACACAGTACTCGTAGCTACTACTACTTACATTAAGACCCCTAGACGTTTTGGGGTTATAAGGATCATTAGAGGATACCTTTCAATATTCTTTTATGTTAGTGTTAAGTAGAAAAAAAGGTGATAAATAATACAGATGATTATAAGTGTGGTTATTCAAAGCCTTAGCATTACGTGCAATCCTGCCGACGTTCCACATGAACCCTTCGAAGGTTCATATGAACTGTATTTTTAGGCGACGCGACTTCTTTAGCCCAATAAGCTATTCTTTTCGGGTCGCGCGAGTAAAATAACGACCATCCGTTATTCTAATAAGCTATTCTTTTCAGGTCGCGCGAGCAAAATAACGACCATCCGTCATCCGCATCCACACCGACCCGAAACTGGGCTCCAAGGAGAAAAAAGTATTAATCTCTCCGATGCGGGGAATCGAACCCCGAGCTGCCGTGTGAAAGACGGCGATGTTAGCCGTTACACCACATCGGAAATTGTTGAAATATCAACTGTGGTATTGGTATAGATTCATCAATGCGGTAATGGTAACTGTAGGGCAGGATTATTCTGCTGGGGGCCACCTCACATACACGCTATAAGGTGATGCAAGAAAGTCTACGGTGTCGAATCTTTTCGTAATAGACCCATAATCGGTCTACTAAGGGATGATAAAGGGATTTACCTAAGAGAAGGCCATAATAATGACAACTTACCTTCGGCTATAAAAAAACACTGAGGGCGCTAGGATACTATCACTCATAAGACTTGTTGATATAGAATATTGTATGCATGAAATTACCTTGAATGCCCCCATGAGTATGCTAAGCCCCTGAAGGACCCAGGGAGATATTTCCAGTCACACTGGGTGTCTTTGATGACCCTTCTAAGCGAACTTCTGAGATATCAAGAGGTGGAGTGGATAGAGTCGACTAACCCGTGAAAACGTACAGTACATGCCAGCTTCCTTGGTTACTTGTTGCTGACCCAAGTATAGATTCTATACTGTATAACGGGACAAGACAGTAGTCGTGGATCATATTTTTTTTGATTGTCATTCAGGCTAAAACATCACACTCGCAAGTCATTCCAAAAAGAAAAGTTTAGTGAAAGCCAAAAGCTCTAATCAATGTCTATTGTGACCATCCTCTCCTCACGCTCACAATCTCGCCTTGGGGATCCGGTTCCCCTGTTCATCGAAGTTGATCTTCTCGCCGGTGATCAGACTCTCCTGGAGGGCGGCCCCGATGCGCACCGCCTGGACGGCGCCCTCCAGCTTCAAGGGCACGGGGGTGTTCTCAAGGCAGGAGGCGGTGAACTCGTTGGCCTCGGTGACGAAGGCGTACTCGAAGCGGTCGTAGTAGTGCTGGGGCAGCTCGCGGCGGACGCCGGTCTCGTCGAAAACGTTGACCAAGTTGATGGCGGGCTGGGTGTTGACGGCCAGCTTGCCCTTGGTGCCGATGATCTCGGTGGAGTCCTCCTGGCCGGCGGCCATCATACGCGAGGCGTAGAAGTAGGCGATGCGGCCGTCGTAGAACTCGACCAGGCCGACAGCGTTGTCGCGGTCGTTGTGCTTGCGGAGGTCCGGCTCCACCGCCGTGATGCCCACAGCGGAGACGGATTTCACCTTACTGTCCTGGCCGAAGAACCACAGCGCCAGGTCGATGTCGTGGATCGAGCAGTCCACAAAGATACCGCCAGAGAACTCAGCGTAGGTGACGAAGAACCCCGTCGGGTCCAGCTTATCGCACGTCTGGCTGCGCATAACTGAGGCCGTGCCGATCGCCCCCGCGGACATCTTGCTGTGCGCGTCCCGGTAGGAGGCGTCGAATCGCCGCGAGAATCCGCACATGACCTTGAGATGGGGTTTCTTGGCTGCGGCGTCAAGGACGGATTGGGACTATGTGTCAATTAAAGCCATGTTAGTTTGAGTTGCCAGATTTTTCTCTCGTCAATTCAGTTGTTGGGGGCGGAGAAAAGAGAAGGAGGGGAGGCGCAAGAAGCGTGACGTTAACGGCCACATACAATTTCAACACTGGTAGACAAAGGCTTCTCGCACAGAACGTTCTTGTCAGCCTCAATGGCCTTGATGGCCTGCTCGGCGTGCACGGCGGTAGCGGAGGCAACAATCACGGCCTCCAAGCCCTCGTGCTTCAGCATGTCGTCATAGTTTTTGTACAGCTTCACGCCGTACGGGGCCAGGTGGACCTTGCCCCATTCCAATTCGCTGTCGTCGGGAGTACTGACGGCGACGAGCTCTGCGCGGGGAGTGCGCTGTAAGAAGTTGAGGGCATGACGCTTGCCCATGCGACCGAGACCGGCACAGCCAACCTTCAATCTTCTGGCAGACATTGTGATGGATGTTTGTCTTGGTGGGAGGACCGAGGGGCGGCGAACGGGAGAAGGAGGGATTCGTGAAGGTAGATGGAGAATTAGTGAAGAGAGAACGAAAAACAGGAAGAGGAAGAGGAAGAGGAAGTGATCATGAACAGCGAAGCAGCAGGAATTTAACCCCCGACACGCAGCTGGGGGCAGTTGGGGCAAGTGTCGGTCTGGGTTCTTTCTTTTTTGTTTTCCTTGAGGGGAAGATGCGGAGAAAGCTGAGTAGCTGCTGGAGCTGCTGCTGCTGCTGGCCAGCCAAGGAGACTAGTCTGACAATGCTTCTGACTGGCTGGATAATCGTAGGTTGGGTCCATAGAAGTTGCCAGTGGCTGTCGGACAGGGACGGTTTCGGGCGGAGTGGAAATCCCGGGGTGACAGACCAGTGGAGAGTGCTGTATGTACAGTACTGCAGGTGTACAGTACCACCACCCCCTTTTGCCGACCCCGGAATCTGGCCGTCGGGATCCCTGCCCCGGATCCCCTTCGGAAACGAGGTTCCCGTAGGAGAATCGCTGCTATGATCCTGCAGCACTGGCAGGATAAGGAGAAGCAGTGACTGGAACGTGCAGCTTTGAATCTATTCCAATTGAAAGACAAGGAAGAGATGGGAGATGGAAAGCATCAAGAGAGCTTGTTGAGCTCAAACAGCATCCAAACGACCACGGTAAAGTACGGGGGCGGGGAAAACTACCCTTTCCGGGATATCTTTAGAGTACAGCGGGGGAATATTCCCCTGGGCGAACTTATAGGTCTACAACTTCATTCGATTTTCTTCGAAGCCTGAGAACATGTTACAAGCCACTCGTATCCCCATGAGTATGCGGGGAAGCTGTGTACCGAAATGGGAGGATAGAATCGAATAAAATTGGGGAAGGCCAAAGGTGGAAAAGTGTACTCAAATGACATACTATCAATAGACCAGGAACCTTTGTGCTCCTTAGTTGGAGATAGCAAGGAACACGCACTCAATTTAGACCATGTGACTGCCAGTTAATCCGACTTCACATGCTACTCAATTGCAATGTGATAGCTGTACTGCTACAACAAGTTCTACACTTATGAAAGTGACCCCAATGATTGGCTATGGCGTCCTCCACTGTGCAGTAAGCTTGTGATTCGCAACCAGAAATAAGCAATCAATGCAAACCAACAAGAACAATCACTTGATTCACTACTGTTCTCGCAATGCATAGCGAGAAAGCTCCCCCCAACCCCAGAAATGGTGCATACAATCATCATTGCTGGTGATCTGTCCGATCACTCCCCCAAGGAATCAATCCCCGCATCCCCACGCCCCCACTCCCCCGACTCGGGAATCCGTTCCCGAAGCGCCTTCAATGTCTTGGCACTGAAGCAATCCCCGCAAGAGACAGATTTCTCCCACTGAAATTGCAAAAGTCAATTGTTTTTTTTTTTTGGATCGCAATGGGCTGGCTTGGTCTGAGCGTTAGTCGTGGCTGAATAATTGGCTTTGATCGCGGTCGATCTTGACGAGGCGTAACTTATGGTTATTTACATACGTGTTGGAAGTGGCTGAGTAAATCAATTGATTCATTGGGATGAAGAAGCCTACAGGGTGATCGCCGACAGGGATGGTAGCCGTAGTGAAGTACGGCTTCGGGCTTAGGTTCTACAGGATCATTGCACTGGAAAGGAGATAGTGAAGGGCAAAACGTGGTCCAAAATCATCTTGGCCATCGGTTCATTTGGAAAATAACATTGTATAGTGTGTTCGTGAATCATCGCTTGAGTTCATACCATGAAACCAAAAGAAACAAAGTGAAACAAAGATGCTGGAAACAAACAACCAGAACCAGACACAATCCTACATGGCTCAGGTGGTAGACTGGACGGAATACAATTTTCTTTCATCCATCCAGGGTATCCTCTACCACTTGATGACCCTGTTGGGGAAGTACTCGTCGATCAACTCGAGGTAGTAAGGCTGCAGACTATCGGTTAGCTGAATTCTCTGGGGAAATCACAAGAGTGGCTAACGCACCTTGAGCTCCTCGGCGCTGGGAATGCCATCGCTCTTGCTGTACAGATCGTAAGGGTTGAAGGCCTTGACGGCCTTGAACATCTCCTTGTCCTTCTCGTTCATCAACTCCTGGTAAGCGCCAGCGTTGTGCCAGGGGTAGAAGGAGTGGTAGCGGATCATGGCCAGGGCCTCGGCGGGCAGGGTGGACTGCTCCTTGACGACGTGGTAGAGGTACTCGTCGTGTCCCCAGGAGATCATCACATTGTCCAAACCGCAGCCGGGGCTGTAGATGCCATACTTGGTGTCGTAGATCTCGTGGCCGAAATCGGGGTTTTCCTTGAACGAGTCGCGGCCGTAGATGATGCGATCGTCAAAAGCGCAGCCGACTGGGAAGGTGTCGCCGACGACGTCCCACTGGCCCTGGGCGTCAAAGAAGTACAGCAACTTGCCCAGGTCGTGGATGAGACCGGTCAGCTGCATCCAGCGGGGCTTGCCGTCGCGACGGATCGCCTCAGCGGACTGCAGGAGATGCTCGATCTGGGAGAGGCTGGTGTCCGGATCGGACTCGTCGATCAAAGTGTTCAACTTCTCCATCGCCTCCCACACGCTCATCTCCGCACGGGTCTTCGCGTGGAATGCATTGCGCGCCTTGAGGTTGTATGCCACCGTCTGCTTGGTGTGCTGCTCCTTGTAGAAGTTCTTGACCCGGTCACAGGCATCCTCGTACTGACGGAACTTGGTCTTGTCCTTCTCCTTGTCGAACTCAGACTCCTCATAGAGACCCTTCTCCTTCTCCTCCTTCAGGTTGGTCTTGAGAACATTGACTGTGTCGATGGCGTCCGACAGGTCTTCAAGGGCCTGTCCGTCACGTTTGGTGTTGAACACGGGGGTTTCTTGGGCGACTGCGACGGGTGCCATGTTGATTGTGCGTATGATGCAAGGACGAGAAAACTTTTTGGAGCCTGAAGATCACTTTATCCTGGTCTTCGGGGTTTGAGGGTATCACACAAGGGTTGTTGTTGGGAGGATAATGAATGAAAGCGAGGCGACCCGGACATAAATATGATATTTCCATTCTTCTCGGCGAACGTAGATTAGACTACCCCAGAAGGAGTTGCCATCGAAAATGCCAAACACCGAGTATCGCCCTTTGGTTGGTCTGCTGCAGCGCATGACGTTGCGTGATTCTAGAAAAGCACAGGGCGATTTTCCCATCAGCGTGACCACCCCACGCCAGGAGGTCGGATTCTGGGTTCCGAAGCCACAGACTACTGTGGGAGGATTTGCCCTGGGGTAACATTCCCCGCCATGGTGGAACAGAAAGGCTCGCAGATGGACCACATCAGCCAACCAGAGCGTCAGCCACACTCAGGTGTAGCCCTGGAGGCTGTCTGGGCCGTGGGTGGGAACAATGCCTCTGGATTCTGGTTTCCGATGGCGGGTTTGCATGCGGGCCGTTGTTCAACCAGAGAGAATGTTTTCATTTGTCAGGGGGCCCGACCTCGATTAGGTTCACCCTTGCTGCAAGATACGATCATTGTGAGTATCTCCTGCTGTATGATGACAATAGCCCTGGTGCATATGGGCAGATGAGGCTGGTTGTTTTTCCCGCTCGTGTCTGGGATGTAACGTAGATGTTGGATTGAGGTGTGCCTGCCAAGTGCATTGTAGTGCAGGGAATGCGGGTGATAGATTGGAGAAACAAACCCCGCATTGTCATCTGTGAAGCTATTCTGCAAGCTGTCCCAGCCCTTCTTGTTAGTTATGTAAGATTCTCAGTCAGAACTGTCGGCACAAAGACGCCCGAGGGGAAGGAATAAGTGGTGGGGGAAATGCCGGGGATTGCTCCGATACTAGAGTCTAGTGCGGGGTATCTTCCTTCTGCCCCTCCCTTCTCCTCTCCTACTAGCTAAGTACTATTGTCCCTCTCGTCCTGCCACATGTTCTTTTCTTCTTCTTCTTCTTCTATTCCTCCTATTTCCATTCATTCAACTCCCTCGCAATTCGCATCCTGTCCGTGTCCCGCAGTTCGCGCCTCAAGCCCAACACCATAGCCCAAAGGAACTCATCGCAATCCACAATGGGTCTCGCCGATACGCGCTTCAAGCTCAACACCGGAGCGGAGATCCCAGCTCTCGGTCTCGGTATGCAGCCTGTGTACCTTTTGACCATTGTAACCAGACCCACTAATCCGTGAGCCCCCCCCAGGGACCTGGCAGTCCGCGCCCGGCGAGGTCGAGAAGGCCGTCCGGCACGCCATCCAGGTGGGGTACCGCCACATCGACACGGCGTTTGCGTACCAGAACGAGCACGAGGTGGGCAAGGCGATCAACGACGCGATCGCGGCGGGGGAAGTGAAACGCGAGGAGCTGTTCGTGACGACCAAGCTGTGGTCGACGTGGCACTACCGGGTGGGGGAGGCGCTGGACCAGAGCCTGCAGACCATGGGGCTGGACTACATCGACCTGTACCTGGTGCACTGGCCGGTGGCCATGAACCCCAACGGGAACCACCCGGTCGTGCCCAAGCTCCCGGACGGCTCGCGGGACCTGCACCTCGACCACCCGCACGTCGAGACGTGGAAGAGCATGGAGAAGCTGGTCGGCGCCGGCAAGACCAAGGCCATCGGCGTCTGCAACTACAGCGTTCCCTATCTGCAGGAGCTCCTGGCCCAGGCCATCGTCGTCCCCGCCGTGAACCAGATCGAGAACCACCCGGCCCTGCCGCAGCAGGAGGTCGTCGACTTCTGCAGGGAGAAGGGCATCCACGTTACCGCGTACAGCCCGCTCGGCAGCACGGGCAGCCCCCTGTTCTCCGCCGACCCCATCGTCGAGGTCGCCAAGAAGAAGGACGTCGCCCCCGCGACCGTTCTGCTGAGCTGGCACAGTATGTTCTTGCACCCGTGTCTCTCTTGCTTCAGCCCTTGCTCCTTTCTCTCTCTCTCTCCCCTCTACGTTTACAGAAGCCGATAAGCTAATCATCGAACCTCATGCTATTTAGTCGCGCGTGGCTCTTCGGTTCTCGCCAAGTCGGTGACTCCTTCTCGCATCGAGGCCAACCGCCAGCTGGTCGAGCTCGACGAGTCGGATCTGGCCACCATCGCCAAGTACACGGACGAGCTGGCTCGGACGAAGTCCTTCAAGCGTTACGTTTTCCCGCCCTTCGGTCTGGACTTTGGGTTCCCTGATAAGGTCGCCAATTAGGTACCACGATGAAATAGGCACACCCGGCGACAGTGCAGCACGTCAACTATGGTAGAAGGATTTATAGAGAGAGATATAGAAGCCATTTGGTTGGTTGATCGGTTGGTTCAGAAGAAAGAACCAAGAGTGACTAGTTGTATATGACTCTGATATATAAGACTTCTTGTATGATTGAAATGACATCTTTGATTCAATTCCGCTGTATGGTATTGTACAACAGTTGGTCTCTGTCCATTTTAACTAAAGAGGGGCTTTCCTAAACAAGAGAGTTGACATGTGTTCGTTCCATCAGCCCACAGTGAACAAACGCAGTAAGCGAGCCTTAGGCGAAAGACCTGGCACACACACCGATGAAATGATGGGAAAATGGAAAATCTCACAGCTTGGGCTAGACTTCAAAGTGTTAAACAGTTAACCAATTCAGCTCTCCCCTCGGCCTCTTGTGCATTTCTCCAGCCCAATTACACCCGATCCATCACCTCTATCTCATCAAGTCCAAGCCAAAATCACTCCTAAGACAGAGGCTCAATGAGTTCCATCGAATTCAGAAGGCAGCCAAAAGCAAACCAGGCCGAGTGGACAATGGACCGAGATCAGTTGCTGCCAGAGGCGGTGGATTCGAGCACAACTGGCAACGCAGTAGCGTTGAAGCCTACCCATACCCTGTCCACGCCGACATTTGGCGAGCCTGTTCTTGGATCCCTCGATATGACAGTCAACGTCTCTTGATACCCCAAGGCCTCAAGCTCGGGAATCATCTCCTCTTGCGACGTTGAGTGCCCGCTCCTGAGCCAAAGCAAGAGCCCCTGGAGGCGGTTGACCTCTCGCTCGAGCAGGACGGCATGTGCCATCTTGATCGACAGCAAGCCGCGGTCCCGAAGGAGTCCAAAAGCTTCCTGGAGATATGGGTACGGCAAAGATGCCAGAATCCAGGAGGCTGTGTAGTCCTCATAATCGGGCCATATGTACTCAGAATCCGTTGGAGGGGGAGTGGTCATGTTTCGCCTTGGCTTGCTGCAGTGAAACTCAAAATTGGGTGGCAGGTGGTCAACCATATACTCCAGGCAGGCCCTGACTACTTGCGGAGCCCAACTTTTCTTGAAATCCTGTGCTCCGGGCGTGCTGGCCGTGGGCGTCCCGAGCGACGGCGCCTCGAGGTCGAAGCTGATAAACGCTTTCAAGGTGATGAGGTAGTCTTCGGGCCGGATACTGTACTGCAGGATCTCGTCGATGGCCTCCCAGCTGATCATAGAGATGGTCAGTTCAATCCCAGCTTTGATGACGTCCGGAATTTGCAGACATGCTCCAGCCACGGCATAGGAGTATGCCAACTCGGCCTTGGCGCTGCCAAATGGAAACGAGAGCTCGCCGTATGTCGCCTCCGTGTATCCCAGTAACTCAATTGTTTTCTGGTGGAGAAGTTGTCCGTCTAAGAGTGGTGCACCATACAGATATTTGAGAGCCATCTCAAAACCATGCATCATGCCGACTTTCTCACCGAAGACCGCGATGATTTGGTTATACCCTTCCATGTATGCGGGGAATTTCAGTATGACAGCAAGTGACGGGCTTCGCATCATTATAAGTCGATGTGCCAGCAAGGCACAGGCAAACTCAGAGTCGCCTTTCCTCAAAAGTTCAATGCCGAAGTCACACAATATTTGGTCGCGGTAGATTCCCAGAAAATAGGTCGACAGGCTATCCGTTGTTCTTAATTCTTCGGGCGGATCTTCAATTAAATTAGCACTTCGATCTGATAACCTCTTCTGCCAGCCAACTGACCGATAACTTTTGACGTCTCACCGGCTTGTTCCTGGGCCGTATGGGCTTTGTCCTGAATAGTCTCTTCGATGTCCTTTGGTAAGCAAGAACTCGGTGCGACTGACTCGGATGCAATCTCTGATATTCCATGTTGACAATGCGACATGAAATGTAAACAGCAACATGATTTCCTAGGAGGACAAGCACAACCTGTTGATCTTGGCGTATGCACGCAACAGTTAGTTTCGAAGGAACAAATCTCCTGATCATGTTGATCACATCGCGCATTCTTGGCTTCCTGCTCGCAGATGTTGCAAACAAATGTGCAGTGCTCTTCCTCATTAGACTGCTGCTGCTCCCTTGGCGACACGCAAGCATCTTCTTCGGCAGCAACCAAGTCAGCGGGTGTCTCGGGCGATGAATTGTCATGTTCATTGTTTGGGTTCCCAATGATCCCGGGAAAATCTTCAAGTTCTGTGGAGCATGATACCAAGCTTTCGACGCTGGTCTCGGTCAACTGCGTTACTAGAATACTGTCATCCGTGGGTGACGCGGTCCGTGGCTTCGGCGCTTGCAGTTGTTGAGTGCTTTCCGTGCTTTGAGTTGTTACACATGAATTCAAGACGTCAGGATCGGGATCTTGCACCACATCGGGATTTGCTTCGGTCAATGTCACCACAAAAGTACTTGCGTCAGTGGTAGACGAACTTCGTGGCTCCGATTCTTGAAAAGAGTGAGTGCTTTCCGACTTTTGAGTCGCTGTAAGCGAATCCAAGTCTCTGGAATGTGATGCACCCACGTCATCATAGACCAAAGCCTGGCTAGCCTCGGCCGAGTCTGAACTGACGTAGGGCGGAGGTAAGGATACGATCGGGGGCTCTGTCGCTGAGAGTGTTGTGGAGCTAACATCCGAAGGCGCTGGGGAAAAACAGGACGGATTCACCGCTGTTGGAACGAGCTGAGTTCGACCGGCTTCGAAAAGGCCGGGAGGTAAAGTGGCGTATGGAGGTGGAGGAGACAGCGGCACTTGGATCTGAATGGATTGAGTCTCCGCGCCTGTGACTTGCTGCTGCGCTACCAGGCCGTCACTGTCATCAGCAGTGGAAGCAACAAGAAGAGGCAGAGTAGAGGGAGGTGAGGAAGGAGGTGGGGGAGGAGGTGAGGGAGGAGGTGAAGAAGGGGGAGGAGGAGGCGGAAAAAGAGGAGGCGGAGGAGAAGGAGGAGAAGGAGCAGCAGCAGCAGCCACCGCCGCCGCCGCCGCCGTCATCTGATGATGAGGACCACCTGACGTTTTCTTCGCGGGCTTCTTAGCCTGCCTCTTCTTTCTTTCTTTTTTGTTCAACTTCCTCTGCGCCTTTCTGGCTTGGACGACATCGGCAAACGATGCAGCAGGTTGGCCATGACCGCTCCTATCAGCGTCGTCATCGTCGTCGCTGTCCCGTTCAGCTTGAGCTGTCACCTCGGCCGTTGGGGCAGTAGGCTTTGGCGCAGCGGGCTGAGCATCCCCAGTCCTCTCCACGTCATTGCTGTCGCTCGGTTCCGAGCTCGCGACGACCGCATCAGTGAGCCGGCACATTGTCGGGTCCAAAGACTGCCGACGCGAACGACAGGGGGGTCGTGGGGGACACAAATCAAGCTCAAGGCGTCGATCAATGTCTGCTTGCAGATCGAGCGATCTCTGCCTTTGAGTTTCCTTTTCGGCTGCCGTCTTCTTCGGGCGCCAGATGTTGAAAAAGTCGTCAAAGGCCTCACTCACAAGGATATCTTCGGAGGAACAAAAGGATTGGACGCGATTGAACGCAGGATACATCACACTCTGAGCATGGTAATCAGTTTTGATCCTTCGCTCCTTAGTAGCAAAAGGACAAGCCGGGCGATGCGTACCGTTTTCCCGAGCAAGGTGATAAGAATGTCGGGTGATGAGGATAGGTCTGTATGTTGAGGTCTGGTGAGCAAAGCAGATAAAAACAGCGATAACACGGGGGGTGGTAATGCTTACTATCTGATCTGGATAGGCCGCTATCTAAAACTGATGTAAAGCAATGCTACAAGCTTGAGAAGGCAGCCTGCCTTCGTGACAGTCCGGTAACTTTTAAACTTTGAAATTCATTTGAGCGAATGGAGGCAGGTGTGATGATGGATTTTCGAGACAAGGCATGTGTGGAAGAACACTAGACAAAGGACTACTGTGCAGTCAAGAAGGACGAAGAAAGAAATAAGGATTCTGTTTACCTCACTGGCTAGTAGACAACGAGAAAGTTTCCTCTCACTGTTAACGCTGCGCAAAGTAAAGCGGGTCAAGCCTTGAAACCTTACATTGCAGCTGTTATGAGCGAAAAAAACCAACATACAGCTCGTTGAATGATATCTGTTCCTGCAAGTTACCTGCGATGACTACAGACTTAGCAATTGTTCAAGTCTGTCATTCCGATTTCTGACATCACCGAACATGAACCCTGCGTTGAGACACATGATTTTTGCCAGCTGGAGGGCATCCTATCCCTGGTACTATGTGAGGGTTTCCTCATCCACGTGACTGACAAGGTGTCTTGAATCTTTCATTCGACTCTACAGAGTCACTAAGCATCCTACTTTAAGACCTTGACTGTAAACAGCTGGACAATATCCTAAGCCTGATACTATGTGAGGGTTTTCTCGTCCACGTGACCTCAAGATGAAATAACGCATGAACCAAAAGAGCAATACAGCAACCTGATCAGTATGGAGCATTCACACTGAGTGGACAAGAAGGCTTCTGGAAAGTCTTGCCCCAACGCTTGATGGCTTGCAAATCTCCAGTGGAGTAAGGCTTCCACAAGCCTGGATGCAACGTGCAGATTTAGGATTGTCCAAAGGACGATCAACTACCAACGATACTAATACTTTAAAGATCAACAGACAGCTGAAAAGCTATGTATGAAACTTATGGTCTGGATAATTCTGGTATTGTGGCCAAATCTCGTCTAAGCAAATGTCAAGAGAGAATGGCTTTGTCTGAAGATATGACTCATAGGAAATTGGTAATGTCAATGAATGGGTAATAGACAGGAAATGAAAGTAATAATGCTCCGCTCAACGTAACGCTGTTGGTATATCATGATGGATGCAAAACCGGAATTGCTAAGGAGAGGTATCCAACATAAAGATGCAGAAGGCTAAGCCAGAACGTCAATAATACATCGTAGTCGGGGAAGTGGGTTGAGAAGGTATTGAAGGGAATGGAAGTTATGTCAGGTGTTCAGCATGGAGTTTAAGGGGTTTAAAACATTCCTCCATCCAGAGGAATTTGGGGGGGTGGGTAGGTAGGAACAGCAGGCGGATGTGTGTCAGCTAGCAGCTGGTGACGGGCCTTCGCATTCAAGTTGCCTCCCTCGCTGGAGGATTTGCGAAGCCTGGCTCGAGACTTCGGGCGCTTTTCGCCGTCGTCGGAGAAATTGCTTGTCTCCTCCATAGCCGAGTCAATTGATGGTGTATACTGAGACTCATGTCTCTCGCCTTTGAGTGCTCCCAGAATGGTTTGTGTGGTAGTCTGACGACGTCGCCGTGGATTCATCGGCGGAATTGGTGGTGTCTCCATTCCGTTACTCAAGCTGGCGCCAGGAGGAAGACCAACCGTCGGTACATTTGATGTGCAAGAAACCAATGTAGGCTCAGAGATAAGGGTCTTGTTGATTGCCCGCTTTGTAAGGCCATTGTTACCTGGTGCACGATTGAGAGCGTGATGATGTTGGTGGTTGTTACTAATAGCAGGCACCAGAGGGGAACCGTTCTCAGAATTAAGATCCAAGGGTGGTGTAGCATTGGCGGAATAAGGTGCGATGGGGGAAGGACGAGGAGCGGCACCAATCAGGGATGAACTGTTCGTTGAGAAGTAGGAAGGGCGATCGTGAAAGCTGGAGACAGCTGAGCGGCTTCCACTACGGTGCCTAGTTGAAGCAGCAGACGAGCAGCGCTCATACATGGCAGACTCGGTAGCCTCGACTGAGGGGCGGCCAGAGAAAGTGACGGATTGGATGCCATACTGATCATGATCAGGATAGGCCATTGGGTGGTGACTTCCGTGTCCAACCTCTTCCAATGTCTCTAGGCCATCTCGGTCTCGCCGCGAGCGACTTTTCGAACGACCCGATGCGTCAGACGTGGAGCGATCTCGGCGTGATCTAAAGCTGGAGTGTGGAGATGCGCCGCGGCTCCGGCTAGACTCACGGGAGTCTTCTTGGCTGCTGCGACCGAAGACGGACATTTTCGAGCGGAAAGACCTCTCGCCTGCAATGTGGGGGGTGCTAGAATTAGCATGCTTCGCGAAAGGCAGGGCCGGCCGCTCTTCCTCCTCACGCCAAGGGTCATCTGACACCAGAGCCGGAGTAGAGGCGTTGGCATAGCCCAGGCCTTTAGCACCCTTCAGATCCTGTTTGCTGAAGAGATGTTGCTTCCCTGATTTGTTTTTCAGAAAAGAGAATGCGTTCCCAGGTTTGCTCGGAGTAAAATCTGGAGTTTGGCGGCCAGAAACAGGACTAGCTGATCTGCTCTCCACCTCCGCAAAGCCCTTCAATTTTTCCTGCACCTTTCTCCGTCTCTCTGCTAGCTCGTTGGCGAACTCTTCGCGTTCGATTTGTGTCTCGGTACTCGCTTCACGTCTGTGTCTGGAGACGAGCTCATCCTGCCAATTTGCGCTATGGGGGGCACTTTTTGGATATTGCGCAGTGGTATCCGCAACTGCATTCGCCTCTACAGGCTTGGCGGGAAGGCCAGGGGAAGGAGGAGGGTAAATTGACGAACGGTCGCTGTCCTGTCGAAGGTGTGCGCGAACCAAGCCACTCAATCCCAGACCTGAGGGTCCTAGCGTAGGGGAGTCTGGCTTCTCTGGAAGATCCTGGCCGTTACTAGACTTGATCTCAACAAGATCATGCTCCGCAATTGGCTTCAGATCCCCCAAATCGGAGTACCGCACTTCAGGCAGAGGGCTTCGGTGTTCACTCGAGGGCGTAGAGGGCTTGGAAGGCGTTTCCGGTCGCAGTGCAGGGTGCAGTTCGTCTGAAGTGTACAATGTGTCACGCAAGCGCGCGCGGCCTTCATCCTCCGAATCACTATGACTCGAGTTGGTAAAGAAAGTGGCGCCGGTGGGCTTCGAAGGGGAAGCGTTCGCGGCAGACCGGCTCCCGGGGCGTTGAGCCTCACTGTAGTGCGAAGATGCCGAGCCAGGCCTCGACGTGTAGCTTGCATTCGAGAAACCGCGCGCGCGTCCAGGAAGCTCGGGCAGTTTGGTTCTTGCAGGTGGTGGGAGGGGCCTAGCCAAGGGCGGTGTGCTCCTCCCTTGGTGCATCTGTAGCTGACGTTGTTTGAATTGGCTTTCATCAAAAGTGGTCTTTGGCTTATTGAACAGGCCTGAAGCCGTAGCCTTGCCATGGTCCTCCGGCCGGAGAGCAGCCACTAAAGCTCCCCCCTCTTCACTTTCACTGAACGGGGGACTCAGCGGAGGAACACTGTACGCGGTGCTTGCAGGACTTTTGAGTCCCTTGGCGGCGATGTTCAGCGCCTCCTCTGACGATGGAAACAAAGATTCGGGGCTCGTGGGCTGGGTTGGGCTGGGGTTACTAGGAAGGGGTTCGGTGATCGTCAAGGGTTGCATTCTATCACGGAGATTTGTGGCGCTTTTGGAGAAAGCCCGGTTAAGTGGCGGGTGCTCGGGGGTCCCTGCTCTCTGGCGACTCAGGCTTTCTAGACGCTGGAGGGTAGAGGCTTGTTGATTCTGTGCACTCTGCGCCAACCCTTGCCCGTATAGACGCCTCGACTTGACTGAACCACGTTCGGATGCCATCCCCGGCATTGTTGACTTTGGTGCAGAGAACAGACCCTCGCTGACTGATGTCTGCGGCGAAGTTCCCGATAACGACTGCTCCTCTATCGACGTAGCAGCTGTTGAAGTGCGAGCATTCGCAGTAGGACCGGATGCAGTGGAAGAAAGGGTGGTGCGTTTGGCAGAGGAGACCCGGGAAAGTGCGTCTTCCATCTCGTGGGAAGGACTTCCTTGTGGGAAATCCTCCGCCATCAATTCGACGCCTTCTTTGGCATTGGGAGAGTGAAAGGCAGACGTTGTCAAATCAGGTTCATAGAGCGCACGGCTGCTCATCTGTGAACGCCCGGAGTCGGAAGCACCCAATGTTGACTTCGATGAGATCTTGTACACTTTCTGCCGTCCGCCGAACAAGTTATTGCTTTCCACTCGGCGACCTCTGCTCATAATACTTTCTTTTTGTGAAGAGTCCTCATCAGTCCCACAGGAATTATTCTCGGACACTATTGATTGGGCACGCCCTGGGGCTATCGATCGACCATCAATCGAGACCTCATCTATATCAGCTAGGAAGCCGGGATTGTGACCGAAAAGATTCAGTCGCGAGGCACGCTTGGGGAATAGAACGCTATCGTCACTTGCTTTCCCGATGATGGAATCCGGATCATCCTGCTCTCTTAACATGCTGAACCGTGCAGACAATTTTGGCATCAAAAGACTGGTGCGGAAGTCGTCGGTCGACGGTAAGGCTGAGGAGAGATCGAAATCCGATTTCTCCTCGGGCTCCTCCTTCTTAAATTTCCATGACAGCTTGGAGCTGAGTCCTATTGAGCTGCTCTCAGGGACTTCTATCACCTCCTCCTTCACCTTGTCCTTTTTATTCTTGCGGAAACGATTCATGGCGGACTGTGCGGGGGGAAATGCGCGCGACGCCGGCGAATCTCAGGGATGTGGTGTTATCGCGTCAGAGACCGGAGCAGATCGAGGGTTACGCTGAGATGGGAGACTGAGCGAAATCCATGCGTCAGACACATATGGGCTGCGGACAATATGGGGTATCCCTGTGCGTGGTTCTATAGGGCGAGTAACCTACTAGCGACTGTGGCGAAGCCGAAAGGCCGATTGAGCGTCACTCAATACACGAAGAGCTCAGCGGAGCTAGTGAGCTAGTGGGTTATTGGATGTATTTCCGGATTGTTCTTCATTCCCTGGAAGTCGAGATGCTCCGGGGAGCGTCAAAGCTCAAAATAGGCAGCGGGCAGGCGGGCGCGCAGGACTAGGTCGGAGTAGTTGTCAAATAGTGGAGTTGATGTGCAGGGTGCTAGGATGAGAGGCGGTCGCAAAAGCAATTGAGTAGCAATGTGGCGGAGGAATCTTCAGTACACAAGTTATTCTGAGAAGGCGATCGAATGGAAGGCGATGGGCATCTGCATGAGACGCAGGAATGTGGCTGCACCGTGGAAAGCGGGAGCGGAGTCGGTAGGGATGCTGAAAGTCCGGGTTGATGGCGGGTGGAGGCGCCCAGAAATGAGTGCGTCGTTTGTAGTGAGTGAATGGGATAGAATGTGACTTCAAAAGAAGGGAAGGATTCAATTGATCCCAAATAAAGGCGGACCAGCAGGTATGAAAAGAGTGTTGAAGTTGGAAAAGGGAGTGTGTAGTGAAAATGAATGAGTGGTGACTGTTCAGATGTGTCGAGAAAGAGAGAGAGAGAGAGAGAGAGGAGGGGAGAGGGAGGGAGGAGCAATCTATTGCTTCTACCTCAAAAAAGAAGGGATCTGGATTCGATCCGATCGAGTCACTCTTTCGCGCGCTCACTCTTATTTTTTTTTACCTTTTTTATTTCTTGCTCTCTTATTTTTTTCTTTTTATTTTTTCCCGGGTTTTGATTTTAATTGAATTTGGCACTAGCCGACTAGAATTGCTTCCATGGTCAAAGGACCAGTCAGTCAATTCCAATGTCATTTTATTATTATTACCGACAAGTCCAGAGCGCCGTGCTGGAGACGATCAAATTATTGGGTCCCATGGAACGCGCTTCTGCGGATCGACACGAGATGCTGTCTTTGTTTTTCACTATGGAGAGGGAACGTCGAGAAAACAAAATTGTTCGGTTCAGGATCACGATTCCTTCTTCTTCTTCTTCCTACCTACGGTGTACTGTACCTCCAAGCCAGTTTCCTTCCTGTCTCGCTTTCCTCTGCCTCTTCCTATCGAAGGGATCCCCGCCTCTCTCAATATCAATGGTAACCGGGGGTGACAGCCCGTCTGGAATATTTCGGACTTCATACCTGGATCATAACAACTCTCTAAAGTCAATAAACTGTCACGGAAACCATGGGTGTGGTCTCGGGTTACCGTACGGTACCGTCGAGTGACTATTAAGCCCCAATGCCCCTTGCAGACCCCACTCCGAATGAACCACAAATCAGATGTCCCCATTTCGGGTACAGTCTACCTAAGGTAACCTACCTTACCGTTCGTACGTGCCTTACGCCGGCTGTATTCGAAGTTGAAGTATTTGTGGGTGGGTGTCTTTTCCATCCTCCACCAGCTCATTCTCAATCGACCTACATAGCAAGTTCTCCGGAACGAAGTATGTGTTGTCGATGTGGTTGTTAACTTGCCAGTCACCACCACTCGAAGCCGAGCTGTCTATCATATCTCGTGCATTTTATTGTTCTTTCCCGCGTTGCCAAACATGGGTGCTCCAGTTGAAACGGCAATGCCTGCCAGACCTCCACTCCCACCTCTATCCAGCTGAATAACGGAGGACATTTTGTGTGAATTTACACGGCCGCGTCTGGCGGGATGTGGGCCAATCTGGGGCTGAAGGCTGAAGTGAAGGCTGAAAACCCCAAACCAGAACCCCCATCGTCAATTGCATTTCCAGTGGGACACTGGGAAGGACGACAAAGGTCTCTTTTCCCACTGCCCCCAAAACGCCTTCCGCACAAATCATCGGCAATGGCCGCCCACCCAGTCAAGCGGGAGATACTCCCGAGAGTCTCCTTTTTCACCCTGATGAGGCGTTTTTCCTAAACTATATATCATCCTGAAGCCGCCGACTGAACTGAAATCCCTCCACCGTTGTTCGGTTATTGTGATGTGTCTCCTGGATATCCGTTTCATGGCTTTTAGGCCGGTACTTTTAGCTCAGGGCACATTGGGCGCGGTTCCGGAAATTTGGACGAGCGGGACGATCACCTGGACCTTTGTCGCGGATGTTGTAGAATCTAATAGATAACTACTGTGCGGTTTTTCCAGCATAGATTGCGATACAACGACCGCTCAGTTGATGTCATCGATTAATCTATTTTGATCTTGATAATTTAGGGGGACTCGTGAGGGAGATACACAATCTCAATGAGTCGGACAGTATGACGGAGGCTGCGGTCGTCCCGCAGATACCGGACGTCAGAACATTCATTGTGTGCAGCTGCTGAAGATGTTATCACAGCGTACGGAGTACGAAGTGTGCTCCGCCGCTGAGATACCCCTGATTTTGGCTAGGAGGCACACAAGATTACAGGGATTGAAAGCGACCTCGCGTCGAATCCGGAGTGCAGATGCGACATGCATAAGATCCTGTAGGTTTACCCCTCCTTGAGGAAATCCCCAACATGGAGTCACTAATCGATCGCTCTCGAGTCTCTCGGGATTCCGGAACCATCCTTGTTGGGGAGTTAGTGTCTTTAGACAAGACCCATCCTTTGGTTCACCGAGCACCGCACGCTTCCTTTGGGACCGACTCGAGTATATGTCGGATGCAAGTCAGTTCGATATATTCAGTATCCAGTTCCGCAGGAAGATCGAAGTCCTAATGGCGATGGAGATCCGATACGTCATGCAAGTCCGTGATGGCCATGAACTTATTACTTCCACATGGCTTTCGGGTGGAGGCAGGGCGCACTTTCGCCTGTAACCACCATCTTGAAGGATATGTGTGAGAAAAATGTTTATTTCGCTAGGTGATCGTCTAGACACCCACTAACTATCCGTTGGGTAAATTAGATTGTCGTCGAGTCAGTACAGAGTACGGAGTACGTAGTGACTCTAGTGAGAGAGAAAGAATGACAGCCGTTGAATAGCCGGGACCCAAGTCTGCCCGACAGAGAAGTCCCTTGGAAACAGTCTGTGTACCGTACCGTACAATTGTGGTGGATACCCCTGACTAGGCCTGAAGAGGTGGAATTGAGGAGTGCGGTCTTAGCATGCTTAATAATGGTAATAGTCAACAGCGCGTTAGTTAACTACTGAGTACTCCGTAGTTAGTCGCAATACAAAGCGCAGTAAAAAAATTGGACGAGCAGACCAGGGACGGGAACACACACAGTAGTCTTACCGGGCTGTTCTCCGCCCACTTTAGATTAATCCTGGGCAAGGACGGGAGAGAGACAGGCACAGACAGGCACCGCCAGGCACAGACAGGTACCAATTGACCCCCAGTGGTCGCGGTTTCCAATCCAACTCCGCCGTAGCCCGTCGTCTTCCACAATCCTGCTCGAGTTTTGCGCATCATCATCATCATCATCATGAAGTCATGCTCGTAGAGGTCGTGTTGATCAAGGTTCTCCTTCACTTTATCCAAGATTCGAATGGTCAGCTTGAGGATCCAGATCAGTCCCGCTGTATCTGCGATTAATTAATCCAATCTCCGAGAGCCATGAGGGGGGAAAAATGCGTCGGACTAACGCAAGCCCGCAGGCATTCACGACTGCCGAGTAAAGCGCACAGTACACACTGTACACACACCTTTTGAGTCCTAATAACCTTCTTCCCATTATCGACATCGATCCCGCTTTATCCACATCCCCATCCTCTTGGTAATAAGGCTCCATTGAATCCACACGGTTGAGAACTCGGAGTCGAGCGTGTGCGCTCCATGGTTCTCCGGCCCTGAAGGCTTTGCGCGGGGAGAGGTCCTCTTTTCAACCATTCGGCCGGTGTTTCAGATTCGCGATGGGACCCAAACACGAGTCTTTTCACTCTCTTCAATCTCGCCTACGCCTTCACTTCTCTGGTCTAAGCTTCCAAGACGCCCTCCCAAAGAGCACGAATCTCCCTGGAATAGCTAGTCATTGAGTCGACGCAAACAAGTGATAAATGCGACTGAGGAAGCCAAAGCCACGTGGAAAATTTGAGTTCTGGCTGATTCCCAGCTGGTCCCTAAGGTTCATCAAGGGGGAGTTTGCAGGGTGATGCTGCCATGGAAATGTGCGATAAGAGAACGCGGCTCCTTGCAGTGCCTGAAACATTGTGTTGCTTGACTGACTGACTGATTGATTGCTGAATGCATTGAATGCACTGTCAACGCTTTTCAACAAGTCAAGGGTACCTTAGCTAATCACAGCCAACTTGACTATGACGCAATCCTCGACTTTCCCTCCATGAATTACTAATCTAATGGGCTCCAGCTCCAACAGCCTACTGCTCGCGCCGCACATTCATGAAGACAGCAACCCACAGGCTTTCTCATTTTACTGGTTAATCCAGTACTCAGCATTAGACAAACACTTCAATCTTCAATAACAAGCATTGTCATCATGCAAGTCCTACTCCTTGGTGGTCACGGCAAAGTAGCCCTCCATTTGACCCCGCTCCTCCTCGCCCGCTCTTGGAACGTCACCAGCGTCATTCGTAATCCAGAGCACGAAAGTGAAATTCTCGCGCTGGGCAAAGGCGCCAAGGGCAAACTCAACGTGCTTCTCTCCAGCTTGGATGATGTGAAGAGCGAAGGAGATGCCAAGAAAGTCCTCGACGCCGTTGATCCGGACTACGTAGTCTGGTCTGCAGGTACGCCCTCGCGTTTGGAATCGGACAATGAAACAATTACACAACGAAACTGCAGCCCCATCCAACCATGCAGGTCTTTGCTTTCACACCCTCAAACTCTCTCACAGACGAACTCCCCAGTTTCATTTGATAGCAGCTATACACTGACTCCTTTTTCCCCTTGGGAAAACCCAAAGGCGCCGGCGGCAAAGGTGGTCCCGCCCGCACGCAGGCGATCGATGAAGTCGCCGCGAAACATTTCCTGACGGCCTCCTTCGCCCGCCCCCGAGTGACCAAATTTCTCCTGGTGTCCTGGATCGGCAGCCGACGCAACCCGCCCAGCTGGCTCTCCAACGACGACTGGGCCGGCCTCCAGAACGTCTTCCACAACGTCCTCCCCGCATACGCCAAGGCCAAGCTCGAAGCCGACGAGTACATGACCGCGCTGGCCGCACAACGCAAGAAGCTCGTGGCGGCCGGCGCCGCGCAACCCCTGCAGGCGATCAACCTGCGGCCGGGCACGTTGACCGATACCCCCGCGACCCGCAAGGTCGATCTCGGCAAGACGAGGAAGGGCGTGGATAACGTCACCAGAGAGGACGTGGCGATCGTGGCGGATCTGCTCTTGGCCCGGGACGACACGGACGGTTGGTATGATCTTCTGAATGGGGAGGAGGGGGTGGAAGAGGCTGTCGAACGAGTGGCGAGTGAGAAGGTTGATGCGGTCGAAGGTGAGGATGTGGAGGGTATGGTGAAGAGATTTGGTTTGTGAGCATGCTTCGGCTCGTTTTGCCCCATTCATTGAGGACTTGGGGTATGTCGGGTATAATACGCAGAGATATTCAAATGACGTTACTCGAGGACAGTTGATCCCTTGAACAACGAGCAACATATTGACAGGCTACACTCGGAACTAGATATTTGGCACATCATAAATTATCTAAAGATGTATGAACATCACAACAGAGTCTATCTACACAAACCGCCCAAGCACGCCCGCAAAAAGAAGGAAACCAAACGAACCCGTACGTCATGAAAACTTCCAACCACCTCACAACTTCGCTTTGGGTGCCGGCGCGCCTGCACCAATTCCCTCTTCTTTCGCTTGCTTCTTCAACAACCGCCGCAGGATCTTCCCGCTTGCACTCTTCGGAATCTCCTCCACGAAGCGCACGCCGCCGCGCAGGCGCTTGTGATAGGCGACTTTGCCATGCAACCACTGGATGATATTCGCAGCCTCCTCGTCCGCCGACACCCCAGAGGCAAGGCTCTTCGCGCTCCGGACCACATACGCGAGGGGCACCTCGCTGCCATGGGCTTCGCTCTCGATCCCGATGACGGCGACATCGTCGACCGCCTCGTTGTCCACGAGGATCCCCTCCAGCTCCGCGGGCGCCACCTGGAACCCCTTGTACTTGATCAGCTCCTTGACGCGGTCGGTGATGTAGAAGTTCCCCTTCTGGTCCTGGTACCCGACATCACCGGTGCGGAACCAGCCATCGGCCGAGAGGCAGTCCGCCGTGGCGGCCGGGTTGTTGTGGTAGCCCAGGAAGACGTTGGGCCCGCGCATGTACAGCTCCCCGACCGCGCCGGCGGGCACCTCCTGCGGCTCCGAGCCGTCCTCCGGCATGGTCATGTACTTGGCCTCGAGATTCGGGAGGAGTTTTCCTACGGCGCCGATGCTGGTGCGCCACTCCTCCCAGGGCTGCGTGTGGGTCGTGGGGCTCGTCTCACTCAGGCCGTAGCCCTGTTTGATCCCGCACTTGATGCGCGCGTAGACGGCTTCCACCAGTTCCTGGGTTAATGGGGCGGCGCCCGAGTTCATCATGCGCAGGCTGGAGAGGTCGTACTTGTCCACGATCGGGTGTTTGCCGAGCAGGAGGACGACCGGGGGCACCACGTAGCTGAATGTGATGCGGTAGTTCTGGACGTGGGCGCACCATTTCTCGAGGTCGAATTTCTGCATGACCACGAGGTGGAGGCCTTTGTAAAGGGTTTGGTGGACGAGGCAGGTGAGACCTGTTTTGGTTTTTGTTTGTTTAGAGGGGAAACTGTACGCGGGAAAACAAGGGAAGCGCACCGTAGATGTGGAAGAATGGCAAAAAGGCAAGGACACGGTCACCCCGGCCGTCGACCCCATTCCATGTCAAATTGCCGGCCTCGCCGGATGAAAGCTGCAGAACGTTGGCGACGATGTTGCGATGGGAGAGCATCACGCCCTTGGGAACACCCGTGGTACCGGAGGAGTAGACCAGGAAGGCAAGGTCGTGGGAGGGGTCGATCTTTGTTTTCCGGTATCGAGTTGCGCCGGACAGGTTGCGAATGGAGGTGAAGTGTTTGAACTTTGCTTGCGGGTCGCGCTCGTCGCCGATCAGGATGATCCTGTCGTGGGGGATCCCCGCTTCCTGGGCCGCGATTGTTGCAACCGAAAGCAGATGGTATTGTGTCACCAGCCCTTTCGCGCCCGAGTTCTTCAGCTGGAAGGCCAATTCTTCTGCTGTGTAAGCTGGGTTGGACGGAGAAACAACTCCGCCCGCCCAGTGCGTTCCCCATGTCACTGCCGGGGTGTCGATGCTATTAGGGGTGAATAGAGCTAGGACATCTCCCTTGCGCCAATCGAACATGGCCTTGAGACCTTGTCCGAAGGCCAGTGCGGTATCTCGGACACCCTGGTAAGTGTAGGTTCGCTTGGTATCGGCATCTTCGTAGATTACTAGATTGCTATCAATTATGAAATGCTCGTACAAGTGGGAAGAGTAGAGTGCAGGCAGATAACAGACAAGATAGGACTTTTTTTGGTGAGAGATAGATCACAACATACCTTTATCATCCGGATACTCTCGGTCTTTGCGCTCGAAGAGAAACGTCCAAATATCGACGTTGGGTATTTCCACCGACGGGTAGAGTGAGGAGACGGGCATGGCGACAATGCGGGGAAAGGCAAATAAGAACTGTGTCAGGAATGTTGCAGTGAGAACAGAGATAAGGGAGTGAGGGAAGAAGTGATGAAGTTATGGGGTAAGGGGAGATCTAAATTGTTCTGAATGCAAGGATGAAAGATGGGGAAGACGCCGAAGGAGATTGGGATGAACAGGATACCCATTGTTAAGGTAGGCAAGTGATCGGCCCTCGGCATGACGGCGGACTGATAGGAAAGGTTTGGTCGAGTTGGAGACGGCGCGAATAACCGTTGTATCTCCGCAATCCCCTTCCAGCCTCGGTCTTCCCCAACAATCCCCTTCCACAAGTGGCCTGCGGTGCTCAATGAGTCTGCCACACCATACTATTAAAATTCAAATAAGTGCTAAGCCTCAACGTACACATCAGATATGTTCGACTTCACATTCTTAATGGAAAACAATGTGATCGATCAACATACTCAGCTGTTGTTTACTACTTGAGTACATAAGAAGTACTGTAAGTCTGCGCCAAGCTTTACCGGCGCCCGGGGAGGAGAGGGGCGCTGACTCAGCTGTTTGTGGGGTTGGGGTTTTTTGCCTCTCAGCTTCGGGAAGACGGCACAGTGCATACAGTACTCCGTACACATGATCATATTTGTCCGTTCTTTTCTTCTGTTGGTAGATAAGGTGGCCATCCATTGGTTGCCACCAGCAGGTACAATGTAAGGGATCAACCATGTGTGGTTATTACTGGCCTGCTAAGACTAAACATTCATACTTGGTGCTCGAGGTTCTCTTCTGGCATATATATGTCAAGTTGCTAAGGCATCATTATTGAAATAGTCTTATGAATCTAGCCTACCAGTAGACCCACAGACAATTCAAATAGCAAAGCTAGTAGATGTTGAGCTCGAGAATCAAAACCTTGAAAATCCGTTCACCCAGTGATGACGACTTGGACGTCACAAGAGCGCATTGGGCCATACTCGTCGTGACGATGGTTACATCGAGGCTGATCCGGACGGCCCACTATTCTAAATATAACCTTGATACCACTTTCTCAATTGCTCTCTACGGAGAAGAGTATGGTCGCCGGTATGACACTGATCGTATTGCAGATGTTAAGCATCGCAAAGGGCTCACTGCCAGGGCCAAATAGTCAGGACTGTGCTAACATCCAGCAGAGTAGCCCAGGGCCAGAGTCTCGTCGCCGACGATGCACGAGAAGTTGGAAGAACAGAAAAACAGAAAGGAAAGGGACCGTTTATCACTAACCAGTCAGTAATCTCAACTACTCCATCGAGCACAATTTAATCTACTCGATCGTCCATGTATCAAGGCATTGAGACTATATACTTTACAGCTTAAAGTACTACTTATTGGAAAACGGAATCGAGTAGAGAATATAGAGCAGCTAATATGAAGTTTTTGACTAGGCCATCATAGACTACTCCGTACTGTATGTACCAAAGCATTTCCCGTAGCAGCGCAGAGGGACAACCTGGAAGCTCTCAGCGCTTCTGCTAAAGGTGCCCCTCACGAGCCCCGCCGCCTGGCTTCTCACTGGGAGACGCCGGTGGTACGGTACTGGGACTTTAGGGCTCCTTGACCCTAGACTACCCCAAAGACGAACTTCCAACCGCCCAACCTAATGAACCAAGTTTACTGACATCTTCCTCTCATTGCCCGCAGTCCAAGCTGCAAAGAATATGGTTTGCCTCCTCTGGGCTACCATCGGCGTCAAGAATCGACCCGATGACTGTGAAAGATGAAAACAATATATGCACAAGATTTGAACTATGTCGCAGGCATCCTGAAGAAGTGCTTTTCTGGTGGCCATCAGACAAGGCCCAACAGCCAACAACCATTATGGGCGGCCACACATGAGGCACCTGAGCCATTTTTTGGTGTTCACAGACCGCCGGCACCCGGCGGCAGCCCTCGCTTAGTTATCCAATCAGAGATAGCCTTCACTAGCGGTGTTCGCTATATAATCTGTTGAAATGTAACTCTGATGCCTTCGGGCATTTGGTCAATTTGAAACGATACAGAGAAGATTAGCATGGCCCCTGCACTAAGGATGACACGCTCAATCAAAGAGAAGCTACCAGTTTTTTTGCGAATATTTACAGACCTCTTTTTGGAGGTACGAGCTACTATATTGAACGCATGTAGGTTGGGGGTTCGAATCCGGCCGCTTCCGCGGGCGATCCTTTTTATCTCCTGAAACTGAACTGCAACTAAACACCGTGACAATGACTCTCGTATATACATTGAACTAGACGTGATATACATAATAGCTTCTCCCCACAGCTTCTGTGATGATAGAATCTGTCATCACATCAAGCTGGTGCGACCTCCGATTTCTCGTCCACCCTCGCCAGTAGGCATCTCTCCGTTGCGCCCAAAGATAAATTCACGGTAGATAGCTTCCAAGCGTCGCCGTTCAGCATCACTCAGAGAACTGCGTGTGGTTTTCAGCGATCGCTCCATGTGCTCCCACCGGACAACGATCTCCTCTCGAGGTTCGTCCTGAACGGACGACCCGTTGGTCGGTGCGCTGGCCATCCCTTGCTCCTGCTGTCGCAGGCGACGGCGAGCGCTCTTCATCGCTTCCAGCTTGGAGGCGATAACAGCGGGTGGAGGCATCGACACCGACCCCGCGTGCTGCTCGGATGCGGAATAGAGAAATTGAATGAATGACTTGCTGGTAGCGCCGCTGGCATCTGTGGAGGATGGTTTCGTAGTGCCATTTTTCGTTGACTGCGTGTCGTTTGCTGAGCGGTCGCCGAGAGCGTCATGCACGGCCTCGAGGTGAGCGTTGTAGACGACGGCTTGCAGATCAGCGCCGGAGAAGCCCTCGGTACGGGAA